AAGAAGTACGTTATAACTACAGGGATACATTTACATGTTTTAATGAAGGGTCCTTCAGGGGAGGGGGCTTCAGATTGATTCAGAAAGATTGAAGTGGTGTCAAATTAAGGCTGAATCTGTTTTTTTTCCAGATTTTTGAAAAATCCAGTCCACATCAGAGGTGTTTTTAAATACTTAAATGTCCACATGACAGTGCAGAAACAGCAGAAACATTACCATGAGCATACCAGACTAGTTGATGGTGATCATGTGTGATCAGCCTCTTATCTCAAACACCACAGACGAACATTGTAGGGATGTGTATGGAGCATCTTCTTCAGCGTAAGGTGATGGAAACAGTGTTTTTTTAAACTTTGCATCAAGTGTGTTTTATTTATTGTATCAAGTCTTTTGCACATCAATAAAAACAAGATTTAGCATTAATAAAAAATACTCCAGTCTGCTTATTTGTGGAAGATAATTGATTTATCTCACTGTGTTTATCTGAAGGTGAAAACAGGAACCAACTCAGATCTTATTAAAGTTTAATTTCAATCAAACGCTTTTAGGAACACTCTTAAGATTAAAGAATTAAAAGGATAATGTCTACAAATTTTATGTGTTACATTCACAATGTGCATGCCAAACAGATTCCTCCAACACAAAGATCTCTGCCTCACCTGTATGGGAGGATCGGAGGATTGGAGGATCAGAGTATCCGACCGAGAGCGAGAATAATACTGTGGTGATGGTTTGAGCCTCAGAGCTGTTTTTTGGAGTGGTGTCGCCACCTGCTGGACATTTGAGAGTATTATTTACATGAGACTCTGGGCTTCAAATAAGACCATACACAGGTTTTCATGGGCTTGTAATAACATGATACTAAAGTGATGATGATGTACTCTTTTGTCAGTTAAGTTTTTATTTCATTGAAATAACAAACGGTATTAATATCATGAATTAAAAAAATATCCAAAGACCTGAATCAGACTTGCTGATTGAGGTCTCCCTAGGTGGTGGGCTGCTCTTTGTAGTGCTAGCTAACTTGTTGGTTATTGATAGACTGTATAATGAATGAATGTAGTGTTGGTGAAATCTCACATTTGCTTCTGTCTTCATGTTTTCATATTGGATAACTGACTTAACCTTACTATCAAAGGTGGGCCTTAAGCCTCTTTGCAAATGGTTACAGAGTGCCTGCCTGTTAGTCAAGTCAGCTGGGCCTCTGATCTTGTAACCTTAATGACTTTAAAGCAAAAAGATCAATGTCCATACAGTGGTAGCCCTGAGTTAATCAGACCAATACTGTTTTTTTTTTAACCAGGCAGTACATGTGTTTATTTTTGCTAGAAATACTGGCTTTTTTTTGGTTTTGTGTGTACTTGGTTTTCCATGCTTCTGAAGCCGGCCTTAAGCGGACACTATAAATATTTACTCCACTGTTACCAGACATTTCACTCGGGAGGTGGAAATTGTTGAATAAAAAGTATATCTCTTTAATTTAATAGAGGACACAAAACTTGCAACTGTAAGTGAAGTACAGATTTCTGAAATTATATAATAAACTGATGTCTTTTGGCAGGCTGCCATCTTACCTGACAGTCCCGTATGACTCAACTTATTAATACTTTGTAATGGAAAAGATTTTTTTTTCACAATGGTTCAGAAATCATTTATGACAGATGGAAAACATTTCTTTGACGTCCTTAATTTATTTTAATTTTTGATGTTTTTTCCTGCCTCTGAATGTGTATCTTCTTGCCTAGTCTTACACCTGAAATGATAATAATATCTCTCCTTTTTCTGTTTTATCAACGTGTCAACCAGTTCATCAAAGACCATACTTAGCCTACCTCAAGGAGGCATGCACATACTGATTCCTCAAAAAATAAAAACCAACAAAACATACATAATAAATGTCATAGCTCCACTAGGCTACAGTGTACCAAGTTGGGTGACTTTACAAGTGTTCCAAGCCCTCCAAAATACCACTTCCTGCTGGATGGCGAAAACAGCACCACCATGGCAACAGCCCTTGGCATGGATTTATGTGGCTATTGGGGTGGGTAGGAGGAAGGTCTTTGGATGTATAAGAAGGATGTTGAGGGGAACTCAGTGAACCAGATAGGGTTTCACAGTCGATCAAGACATGCCTCTCTCCAGCTGTACTTTCTAGTTCTTCTTAGAGGATTTCAAGGTGTTCCTTGACCGAGTGAGATACATGATCCCTCCAGGGGTCTGGGTTCACCCCAGGGTCTCCTCTCAGTTGGATGTGACTGGAAAACCTTTAAAGGTAAGTTTGGTTTCTGAACAAAGGGGTCAAGCTGATCAGGATCCTGTGGGGCCAGTACACTTACAACTAACAAGTTCCTCAAACGCCCAATTAAGAAAAAGCCAATTCTCCCTTTAACATGCCAAAATGACGCATTACCCTCTAAAGGTACCAAACTAATGCTGCTGTTTTCATCTGCTGTTCCATGACTCGACAGTAAGAGAGGAAAACTGTCACGTATTTATTCTACATTTAAAATCTGCTGTCCTGCTGGATTCTTCCACTCATGGATAAGATTTGTGAGGCAGCTTTATGATACTATTTCTGATTAATTTTATTAGTTTCATATAGCGGCTCAGCATCAGATAAGTGAGCTTTTATTGTCTGGCAAACCCAGAATGGGCTTTGAACGCTTCACCATAGCTGTTATGTAATAACAAAGGACAATAAAAGTCTTGAAACTTGAAGCTATGATTTCTATCACATGATTTATGATCTCTCAAGGCCAGCATAGGGTTATCAGATGTTCTTTTATTTCCACCAGCATGCCAGGACCAATTTCTAAGGCGTGTTATCAGGTTATCCGACTATCTTGTCTCTAAAGGATTTAAAAAAACCTTAGCAAGATATTTTTATATTAAAAACAAATGTGCTCAATGCCAAAGAGATGTTAGTCATTTTAAAAAAACATGCCTCCTTGTATCCTTGCATGCAAGGTGATCAAACTTTTCTTATCTTGTCGCTGTAACTTCAGGATGTTGATATCAATGTTCCTAAAATGTTTGTCTACAGTTTTACCAGTGTCTCTAGATCCTACTGAGATATACTGCATTGACCCTAACATAGGACAACCCTCGTTTTAGAATGACATTGCCCTTGGGACAACACTTTTTTTTTTTTTCCAAAATTGTTTTACACAGAAAGCATTTTAATTGAAAATAACGGTTCAACAACTAAGTTGAACAAAAATAGTTAAAAGCATGTTTTCAACACCGTTAAGATGTTTTAAAATCACAGTTAAATGAAGTAAAGAATAAACACCTATAGATGAACTATAATAAATTTGATGGGATGACTCCATCCGAAACAGTTCTACCTTTTCTGTTTCCGTGTGATGAGCAGACAGTGATGTCTTTTTCAGGCTGGGGAAAAAATGGCAGCCTCTCTCTGTCATATTTCACTAACAACAACAACAACAAAAAGATTTCCCCAAAATTCGAACAGAAATCCGTACAGAATATCTTCATTTTTTAGAGGTTGGATGTGTACAATCTCTAAAAATATACTGACATCTGTGTGGAATAGAAAAGGCTCTGGATGTTGCAGAAACATGACGAGTTTATTGGCTGTAAGCTGACCGCTCTCACGAAGCAAGTGGATTTTACATTAAGTTGTTAGTTGTTACTGATAGATTTTCAGTGCTGATAATACAACATTTTCTTTGTACTTTCATCAGGCTTTTTAATTAATATGGTCATGTTATAGTAATAATAATGCATCAGATTTCATATAGCGCTTTATCAGAGACCCTCAAAGCGCTTTACATCGGATACATCATTCATTCGCTCACACAGTCACACTTTGGTGGTGGTAAACTACCTTAGTAGTCACAGCTGCCCTGGGGTAGACTGACGGAAACGTGGCTGCCATTTTGCGCCTACGGCCTTTCCAACCACCACCACACAACACTCACAATCATACACCAGTGGAGGACACACACTGGGAGCAAGGTGGGTTAAGTGTATTGCCCAAGGACACAACGGACAGACTTGGGATAGGGGGGAATCGAACCGCCAACCTTCCGGTTATTGGACGACCTCTCTACCTCCTGAGCTACTGCCGTCCAGTAGTATATATATTATTAGTATACAAATAAAACTTTGAATATTATGAACCATAAAACTGGCTTTAGATCTGATCCCCTTGTAGCTTGAAAAAGATATCGTAAGAGTAGGTTACTCGCCGTCAGGACTATATGACTAACATACATAACAACTCGGGGTCTGTAGGGGTTTTAAGCAAGGACACTTCAACTCTTTATTTTTGGAAGTGATACAAGTAAGCAACATGTTAAGAGTTATTGGTAGTAATTTTTTAACAAGTTTCTTTAATGTGTAACTTTACCCAACACTGTTCAAATGTAACTGTTCATTTTTCACTCCCATATTAACCACTTCTTTAGGTTTTTTAAAACTGTAAGAGGGTACTATATAGGAGCAGTTTTGCATAATTTTGTCCACAGGAGGCGCCAAAATCAACCCAAACAGAAAGTTGCTCACAGAGGCTTTAAACATCTTTCCTCCATAATAATACTCAGCAACTCTTTAAAATCTCCAGATTGTTTGTAAAAACACTTTACAAGGTGTATTGATAGTTTTTCTTGACGCTGTATATTTTTACAGGCCCTCTGTTAAACACTTAAGTAATAAAGCTAGAGGTCAGAGGGTTGTGATTTAAGATTCAACTCCTTTATGAGATGTTGAGATAAGATGGTGTATGATCTCTTTGTGTGAGCACAGATAAAGTGGACTCTTATCAGCTTCTATCTCCAGCAGATTTATCTTAGATCAGGTGATGTGCAGTGCCCAGATAAAAAACACAACCATAATTATTCTGCTGCTCAAAGACAGGTCTGAGTTTGAGCAGGTCATGACATAAGTTCAGGGTTGCAGACACACTGAGGATTACTGCTCTTAACCAGCTAGAACACACACGTCTAGTCTTATTGTCTGGCTTTAAATACTTTGTAATGCTGCTGCCGCTCTGCTTCACTGTTTTCTGCCTCATCGGCGTCTCTCCCTGTGCTGCTGCACCACCACATGGCACCACGAGATTCACCTCCTCCAGAAATAAGCTGCTCCTCATCTCCTTTGATGGTTTTCGATGGGACTACGATCGAGATGTGGACACCCCGAACCTGGATAAGATGGCCCGGGATGGGGTGAAGGCGGAATACGTCACACCACCATTCCTCACCATCACAAGCCCTACACACTTCACCCTGCTGACAGGTACCCTGATATTATGACTTGAGAATATTTGGTTAACATTCGCTCTGAAAGAGTGGACAACACAAAAATGAAATTAGTGTGTTTATATTGAACCTTTCAGCAGAAATATTTGGGAGAGAAAATCAGAGATGAAGGATAAAATTGCATGTTTTCACATTGTCTTCAAGCAACTTTGACTCAAGATGCAGGAAGACGATAGATAATGGTGGGTGATTACAGCTTTGATAAGAACAAAGCAAAAAGCTGTCTTATCTGTACTTAATGCAAAGTGCAGTAGATATAGCTGTCTCACAGAGGCAGGTTTTTCTATTTTTGTTTAACAATACACAAATTACATCTATACAGAAAAAAAGTTCACAAAATTAAACAAGGATACAAGGCCAGGGGCATCAACAAATACTTTTAAATCCTGTGAGGTTTTTTTGGACTATTTATGGAAAAGACTGAAATTCACAAGGCTGCAAATGCTTTTGACGTACAAAAGCAATCAAGACCATCAAGAACAAGAACAAGACTTGTCATTTTTACAGGGTTGAGTGTCAGCTAAGCACTTTTTTTTTTACAGTTTTCTCATAAAATATTGACCAGAAATGATATATTTGACTGTTAAAACTTGGCTGAATTAGGTTTTTTTTTATTGTTGTTGTTGAAAGCCACTACTCAAGCATGCAGAGGACAAGATAAGCCAATACTGCTGCGCCAACATGGGGACACCAGAGTTGACAAACTGAAAGTTTCTCATGGAAGCTTATTAGCACACTTGAGATCTGTGTCAATTCAAATTGGTGATAATAGAAATGATCATAATAGCAGGGCAGTTTCATTAATTTTACATTGATAAGGAGTGAAAAACAGACCTAACTGTTACCCACAATCCCTCTAGATCCCAATGAAGCTGCATTAAAATGTGACATCCACCTCGTCGCTTCATCTCCTCAATAGTGATGTGTTGGTCACTTATGATTGGCTTTTCTAAAACATTGTTATAAACTTCATTCATCCAGATTGTCTTTATGAGTTTGACACTGAATAAAGTCAGATTTGATCATTTCTTATAGTTTCTATTCATCCATAAAGAAATGCACTTCCTTGTTTGACACTGGGGATATCATCTGTTTATTTAAGCACCGATGGACATAATGCAAGTAAAAGCAAGATATTAGGATGCTGCAGCCTTAAATCATCGACCTGCTTTGGTTTTGGTGCCAGTGCCAAAAAAAAAAAAAAATCACAATGTCAGTGGAAACATTCCTTTTTTTCATCAGGGCGATACATCGAGAATCATGGAGTTATCCACAACATGTGGTTCAACACTACCACTCAGGAGAAGAAGCAGTACTACATGACTCAGTTTGTTGACTCTTACTGGGACAATGGCAGTTTACCAATCTGGATAACAGCACAAAGACAGGTTTGTGAGACCGACTTATCTGTTTTTGCCTTTTAAGATTTCCTTTTCTGTAACTCACTTAAAAAAATCCATTTAGAGATTCTCTTTCATCATGTCCTTTTCTGTTCCTCTAGGGTCTGAAGGCAGGGTCTTTACATTTTCCTGGTACAGCAGCCACATACAAAAATGAGACAGTGAAGGTTCGGCAAGTGGAACCTCGTTTCTATGATCATTCTAATGAGACAGATTGGAGGCTGAACATTGACAAGGTGATTGGAGAGTGGTTCTATGAACAAGACCTGGACTTTGTCTCCTTGTACTTCGGAGAACCAGATTCAACCGGTCACAAATATGGACCAAATTCCCCAGAGCGCCGGGAAATGGTCAAGCAAGTTGACCGCACTGTGGGCTACATCCGAGACAAGATCCAAGAACATGGTCTTACCAACAAGCTTAACATCATCATCACTGCAGACCACGGTATGACCACAGTACAAAGAGGTGGAACGGTTAATGAAATCATCCTTTCCAAGATCCCTGGCTTCAGCTTCAAAGATATTAAGTTTCACCTGGTGGATTATGGTCCAACGGGGATGCTGCTTCCGAAAGAGGGGAAACTGGAGAAAGTCTACCAGGCTCTGAAAAAAGGCCATCCTCACCTTCATGTGTATAAGAAAGAGGAGATGCCAGAAAGACTTCACTATGGCAACCATCCTCGACTCCTGCCCATCATCCTCTACGCTGATACTGGATATGTAATCAATGGGGTGAGAGAAGTTATAGTTTTCAGTGTTTGAATGAATCCTAAAAGCTGAACCTGAGACCTTTGTGTATTTACTTTCATTTTAAAAAGGCTTTTGAAGCATTGGGTCCACAAGGGTGTAGGTTGACAGGTAGTCATGTCACATGTTACTCCTGCTTGTTTGTAATGAGAGCAGAATACATTGAAGTTTGGCATTTTTTGATATTATGAGAGCGTTTGTTCCATTTAAACCAGCAAATAGCAGTTTATGCAAATCATTGAAATTTTACATTAATTTAAAAAATGAAGAGACGTGGCCCCAAAATGGAACCCTGAGGTACCCCATATTTCCGGATTTACTTCAGGATTGATATCCATAAATATTGTTGCCTTTCTTTAGGTACTAGCTTCTAAACTAGATAAAGTTAATGCCTAATATGACATAATGCTAGCTTGTATGACAGAATCTCAAAATCAAAAGTTTCTGGTAGTTTTTTTTAGGTTGTACGGTCACACAATGTAAAAGTCCCGCACACTTATCATTTTTTGCTTTTCATCTTTTCAAACAGTTCTTACCGGTGCAGTTTAACAAAGGAGAGCACGGCTTTGACAATCAAGAGAGAGACATGAAGCCATTCTTCAGGGCGGTGGGGCCTGATTTCCAGAAAAACCTGTTGTTTGGAGACTTTGAGACAGTGAATGTGTACCCACTAATGTGCCACCTGTTAGGAATAAAGCCTGAGATCAATGATGGACACTTGGACATTACCAAAGGCATGCTGGACCTCAAAACAAACACAAACAACAACAACGGTAAGCAGTGTTGTGCTGATGTATTTCATATGCACGTCTACTATTTTATCTTACATTTTCCCACAGTGTTGCATTTTACCAAGAGTTGTGTGCTTTTAATATCAGATCTAGCAAAAAAGATTTTAAAAAATGAGGAAAGAAAGTTGGTAAAGAGAAGTCTGGCCACAGGATTCCAAAAAACACTTTCAAAAGCGACATCCAAATTATACCAAGCTGGGTAAACAAGAGGAAGACTGGTGCCAGATTTCAAAAAGATCCATGTTTGGTTCGATTTGGCTCTGTGCTCTCTGGTTGGTCAACACCAATTCAATTCAAATGAGCTTCATCGGCATAAAAGTCAGGGCAATTCAGTCCAAGTGAGTCAACACCCGCCGGCTGTGTTTTCAAAGCATGGAGCAGCACTACCTGGTGGCCTTGGTACAAGTAAATGAACAGATAAGATTTTATTGATACCTATGTCATAATAGATTCAGCTTATTGACTTTAAAAAATATATATATATATATATATATATATATATATATATATATATATATATATATATATATATATATTTTATAACAAGTCCTGGAGATTTTCTGTAAGGAAAAAGTAGAACTACAACTCATGTTTCATCAGGAGTCTCATAAAACAGGGAGTGAGACTTCTAGGAAATGGAATCCTGGCCTCAAATTTAACCTTGATAGTTGAGCTGATTACAAATGCAGCCCCTGATTGGATGAAAAAAACAAAAACAAAAATGACAGCCTCCCTTTAGCACTTTCAGCTAACAACAAACTATGCACATGAACAACCTGCACTCTTTTCATTCTGTGTCCTGTGTAGAAACATACAAATATTTTTTTTCAGTGAAATGAAAATGGGCAATTTATTCCCCAGCACCTCTTGCACTTTTACACTAGAGTATTGATAACATCAATATACTGCAAATAGAATGTATACTTTACAACATATGTTTCTCTCAGTGTTTCTTTTGTCTGCAGAAAATGCAGCTAAACAGTCATAAACTGAGACAGTCATAAAACTCAGCAGATACAGATGAATATAAACTGATAAGAAGGCCATATGATGGACTTTTGATCCATCCTGAGTCATCATAAGTCTTAGACTGAGATAGCAGGTAGACTAGTTACATATTATGTGCAATAATATAGAAGGTCAGACTTTTAAAGAAAGATTCTCCAATCTGAATAATGACCACCAGAAATGGGCATCAACAGATAGATTCAAAGACATTTTCATTATATGATCCAACTTATTATGTTCTGTGAGCGCCCCTGGTTCTGTTAATTATTTCTGCTAGGCTTACTCACTGTTAATATCTGTACTGTTTTTTCTGCTCGTCTAGAGACAGATTTCAAGTCCCAAGTATTTGTGGCCATGGCGGCTGTGACTGGTTTTCTGGTCCTGGTCTTCATCATGACTGTTTCCCGTACCTGGTTCAAAAGGAGCAGAGGAGAGAAGAGGTAAAATGCTGCAGTCATGAAAACATAGTTCTCTTTGGTTACTCTCATTCGTTTTAAAATGTAGCAGTCATTATTTGTTATCTCACTGGTTTCACCTCTCTGTTGACTTTCTCTTCTCTCAGCTACAAAGCCAAATTTGCCGGTGATGACGAGCAGAAAAACCCATACGAAACCAGCTTGTAAAAACTACACCATATTTATATTTTTCACCAATTTCCCCTGAAGCCAAAGGCCGTTTCTGTATTTAATAACAAATGTGAATTTATTTGGGGTATGGATTCAAGAATTAATAGATGTACTTAAATAAATTAAAATTTCATATGAATGTAAACTGTGTGTTTCTTTTTGCAGTTGTACAAAACAGTGTCTGGTTAGTTTGATTTTTTTGGTAAGACAAAATCACTGCTCAAGTTTTCCTCCTACACTTCACATGTAGAGCAAGTTTATCTGTTAACAAATTCACTTAAATACTTCAGCAAGAAAAAAAAGTACTCTCAAGAAGTTGTATTCTTAAAAAGGACTGTGTCTGAGCTGGCACCCTGCTCTCTCGTTGTAGCTTGAATGTTAAAGTTGCCCATGGGCTGTCAACTGTGTGATTGTCTTAGAAGTTGAGCCCATCTCTCACCTGATTGTCTCTGCCTTTAGTCTGTGTGGCCGCTATGAATCAGAAAGCTTTGAAATCACCACAATCGGTCAGAATTGAGACTGGTTGTGTCTCAATTCAGTGTGTGCTTACTGCCCAGTACACTGCCCAGGATGCACCCTGCGTAAGATCGATTGACTTTTGTGAATTGGGGCAGTGTACGCCCAGGAGGACTTCCTGGTTGCGTCACCAAATGTACCTGCCCTCAGGTTCGTGTCACATCTGATGTCTCACCGGTGCAGTGGCTTGCAAAGAATTCTTGAGTATTCCAAGGCCATGTAGTGTGCGTGGTTACACACTTGTAAAAGGGGCGGATGCAGGGTGGTTTTGTGGCCACATTTTGAGAGCCCTCAGAATCGCAAGCTAAACAGGACACCCTTTTGTGATGACGTCCCATCACAGCAGGACACACTGCAAATTCGCACTGCCTGGCGCTTTCATATTAGATGTCGACACAAAAGGGTGGCTTCAGTTAATTCGTAAACAACAAAGATGGCAGACTCCGCTGCTAGGAGGACTGTCAAATCTACTATTAAATGAACAGATGATGTGTTTCCATGAAAACAAGACGTTGTAATAGCATGTACATTTTTCTTTTATGAAAAAAAGGTATCTTTCTTTTTTTATGCATGCTGCTTTGTTGTCTCTAGATTGTACAGATGATCTGGAGCAGAAATTGGTTCATTTTGCCCCAATCAAAAAAGGAAAGCAAAGAGGAGGGAGACTGGAGGGGGCTGCTGTATTATATTCATGACATAGGTAATTAAATTCAGTTCAAGTACTTAAACAGTTTGTCATGATCTGGCTCAGGTGGACACAATGAAAAAGGGAGACAACACCATGGCAAAATATTTCAATAAGTCTTTACAAGTCTTTATGGTAAACTTGTGAAGGTCAGGTCAGAGAGAACGTGGAAGTGAATGTGTGACTGCAGGAGCTTAAATAACCTCCTCACTCCAAGCACAGATGTGTGACATTATTCTTATCAATGAGCTGCACTTACAGACAGGCTGGAGACACTCAGACTGACAACACCAAACATCACACAATGACGTCACAAACTGTATTTACCCCTGAAGGGTACTGTGCTGCCTACCCATAAAAACAACAAAACAAACGAGCACATTTTTTGCGTTTAATAACACATTGTCTTGTCAAAATCATGACGTTTCACTTCCATAAACTCTCAGTGCAGCTGCTGATGGTTTTATTTTGCCCACAGTTATGAAATGATGGTACTTTGTTCTTGGTTCCCAGCTGTTACTCTGAACATAACCCCGCTCCTATCAGGTTATGAGTTCAAAGTAAGTGACAGTGGTGATCTAGCCAGGTTAGAAGAGAGCCGGCTTCATGAAACAGATAAACCAGGCTTTAGGCTCAACAGACCCAGCTCTGCTAATCTCTAACCATGCTTCATGGTAAACTTTTCTGGCCTGCTGAGCTGCCAGGAGTTGCACATGGTCACCTGTGTTTGCAGTACTTAGCTTTCAGTATATAAAAGTAAACAAGATCGTCTGCAAGAAGACTGTCAATTTTTACATCACCATTTTGAATGCTGGAAACTGATTTGAGAGGGTTGGTGGAGAAACAGCAGTATATGGTTTCCATGTACAATATTTACAATCAATGATTAGTATGGCTTTCAAAAGTTAGCAGGATGTGTTACAAAGGAAGTAAAGCCAGAAGGACACTTAATTATTTGAAAACAAAATTGCCTTTCTATGAGCTAGGGCCCCCGTGCCTTTTTCCAACTCTGCACAGCCCTGTTCTTCGTACAACTGATTGGCAATGGATGATTCTTTTATCCATCTTAAAGTAGTTCATGCAAATGGATAAAATAGCATGACATTGAAGCAGGTGAAGTTGAGGATATCAAGTAATGTTAAAAGCAATTTAAAAAAAAAGATGCTAAAAGAAAAACTATGCATGAAGAAGTACAGTATAGTTTTGGAATAATATCTCTACTGTGTTAATGTAAGCTCTCCTTTATGTTTAAAAGCTCAAAGGGAACCGTCTTCATTGAGGTTTATCTGCACATGTTACAAGTTCAGAGGGTTTGAATTTTGCTCAGCAGTTGCCACCAGTACACCGGTTCTTGAGCACGTTCACTTACAGGCTCATGCAAAATACACATCAGCACTGTATAACCCTAATAAAGAAATAAAACTTGTCTCGTGTTATGGCGGGGTAAGATAAGGGGTATCCAATCGCCAATTCAAACACTAATGAAGGGTGTATCCAGTAACCTTATTCACTACTCCAAAGTGTAATGTTTGCTATAGTGTTGCCATCGGCGTAGAGGAACATTACGCTCTTCTCACATTCATGGTTTTTAGGGCTGGTTAGAGGTCAAAAAAGAGACAAGATCTGTGGTTTTCTTGCTACACCTTGGATTGAATCCCCAGTCATGCTGCTGCTCTGTCTATGCGTCCTCGCTCTTGTGGGCAGTTTCCCTTGTGCTGCCGCTCCATCAAGGGTCTCAACTTTCTCTGAGACCACCAGAAACAAACTGCTGCTCATCTCCTTTGATGGTTTCCGATGGGACTACGACAGAGACATCGACACCCCTAATCTGGATAAGATGGCCCAGGATGGAGTGAAGGCAGCACATGTAACTCCACCTTTTCTCACGATTACAAGCCCCTCTCACTTCACAATGCTGACAGGTAAAAAAAAAAAACTCTTTATTTTGGCAGTTCTCATACATATGGTAGTCATCTGCATAGAAGCAAATACTTACATTCTGTATATGTTATGAAAAACTTAAATAGTAGAAAAGTGGTAGACACGAAGGCTTGGGTAAACCCTTGATTCACACCCACCTCCTGCTGTTAAGGAAGACGGTGATGGTTTGGGAGTAACCCAGCAGGTGGTACGATATTGTTTTGTCCTTATTATCATATTTTTCTGATTGTAGGGGCCATAACAGGAATCAAATCTGAAGCTCTACCACAAACATGAAAATGTAGTGAGGTTATACTAGTACCTCACATATGCTAACATACGTAAACAGCCAGCCAAACTCTTTTCCTCCAGAAAGTTAGCATGCATGCTTCTTCATTGACTTTATTCACAGTAGATGAGTCAGGATGAAAACACTGAACGGGAGTGAGGCTAGCAAAGGAACAGAAAAATACTGTGCTTATTAAACAGCCCAACATCAACATTACAGACTCATTAAAGAAATGTAAAACTGTTAGTTTCCAGATATCTGTGTAGGTTCTCATTCGTCCAGGCCATGGTAATACAAGTTTTCGTTGAAAAGGCAACTGGATTTGTTTGAGGTTCTTAAAGACATTCAAGACATTCGCCTCTCTTCCAAAAGGCTTCTTCAATTCTCTCTGTTAGTTTCAAGAGAAAAGTCATGACAGGGATGAGGGCCGCAATCATGACTTTGGTTTTAATCAGTTTAAGCTGAAGTGGGCAAAGAAACCAAGCAGGAAAATGTCTCTCTCCTTGAACATCAAAGAGCAGTGCCAGGGTTATTGTTACTGACTGAATCTTATCTAACCTGCTGTCCCTCACTTTAAACAGGTCGCCATGTTGAAAATCATGGTGTAATCCACAACATTTGGTTCAACACTACAACTCAGGAGAAGAAGCAGTACTACCAGACTCAGTTTGTTGACTCCTACTGGGACAACGGCAGCTTACCCATCTGGATAACTGCGCAAAATCAGGTTCTTTATTTCCATCTATCTGTTTTCCACCAAGATTTTCAAAAATTTCATATTATAATAAACTTGTAATGGTGTAAGAGGAAAGATTTTCTTTACTATTCATAAATCTGTCTGTTATATTGTTTCAGGGTCTGAAGGCAGGCTCTCTACATTTTCCAGGCACAGCAGCCGAGTACAGAGCAGACATTGTGAGGGTTCAGCAGGTGGAGCCTCCTTTCTATAATCACGCCAATGAGACAGATTGGAGGCTGAACGTTGACAAAGTGATTGGAGAGTGGTTCCACAAACAAGACCTGGACTTTGTCACTTTATACTTTGGGGAACCGGATTTGGCAGGGCATGAGTTTGGACCCGATTCCCCAGAAGTTAGAGAAATGGTCAAGCAAGTTGACCGCACAGTAGGCTACATACGGGACAAGATCCAAGAACATGGTCTGACTGACAAGCTCAACATCATCATCACTGCAGATCACGGGATGGCTAAGATCTTTCCGGGTGGAACAGTCGAGAAGATCATCCTCTCTAAGATCCCTGGGTTTAGCTTTAGAGATATCCAGTTTCAACTACTGGATTATGGTCCTGTCGGGATGCTGCTTCCAAAAGAGGGAAAACTGGAGACAGTCTACCAGGCTCTGAAAGGGGGCCATCCTCACCTTCATGTGTATAAGAGAGAGGAGATGCCACAGAGACTGCACTACAGCAACCACCCTCGCATCCTGCCTCTCATCCTCATTGCTGATCCTGGATACGTTGTCAATGGGGTGAGTAGTCAGCTTTTTTCTTTTACCTAGTCCCCGATTTTAGCGTGTCATGAATGAGGAGAAAAAAACAGTTGTGTGTAGATGATAACAACAGTTTTTATGGTATCCGGGTAGATACAAAGCACAAATGAGAATGTTGAGCCCTAACATGAATATTTCTTTGCCAGTTTTAGATAACTAGGAAATATTATTGTGGGTGTTTGGCTGTTTTGGTTTGGCTTACTACTGCTTGTGTGGGGTCACCACTCTCTGTCACTGTATATTACTGAAACATTTGTCATCTACTGTAGAAACACTGCTGGCTAAACTAGAACCTGTGCGGTGAAGTTTGATGCTTAAGTTCTTTCACTTTGGTGTTGCTTGTCTCTTATCTTTTCAATCCAAATGAAAGACATCAAAATTATGATATCTGATTTACTGTATAACCATGTTTTAGCGGCGCCTTTTATTTCTTTGTTCTCACAGTTCTTACCATTGAACTCCAACAAAGGAGAGCACGGCTTTGATAATGAAGTCATGGACATGAAATCGATCTTCAGGGCAGTGGGACCAGACTTCCACAAAAACAAGATGGTGGGACCTTTTGACATGGTGGATGTGTACCCACTGATGTGCCATCTACTGAGGATAAACCCAGAAATCCATGACGGGCATTTGAAGAATACCGAACACATGCTGCTTCCCAGAAAAAACACAGGGCCAGACAGTAAGTGTAGCCAATGATTATATACAAATCCATAAATTAATTTACACTGAAAGTGATGGACAGAAACAGCTGGCAGGTGTTGTTACACAGTATCTGGTTGAGGAGATGGTACTATTTTTCAGGGTGGAGGAACTGGCATTCAAGTCAGAGCTTCAAAAAACAGACAAGGGTTATGAGGTTGCTGGGAAATCTTCTTCAAAATAATGGAAGTTAATGTTAAAACCTGTTGAAAGTCCAACAGTCTATCCTGCTCCAGCTGTAATGGTGGAGGTCACCATATTCCTAGACCAGTACAAGATTTAATCCAGACAAGCTTTACACCTACCAAAGCCAGATGCTCTTGCTCAAGCTGTCTTTGAGCCATCTTAGCACTTAAGAGCAGGGTTTGAATGCTTCTTCTTTCTCAGGTGAGCAACTTGAAGCAAAAACTGGTTCTTTCCACCCTAAAACTGACCTTTAGAGGCATTTTATCGACTCTGGTCCTTTACAATCAACACAAACTCTGTATATACCATATTCTGCGACAATGCTGTATCCCACATTAAAGGCAAGCAACTTGACAATGAAGAAGCACTGAAGAAAACTAAAATCTGGGAAAACTGTTAAATGGACCTTTGTAATGATTGAGCATACTGGGATACTGAGCCACCCTTAAATCACTGCAGGGGGAGTTTCCTTCCTGCAACAACTGTGTATGTGTGTGTGTGTGTGTGTGTGTGTGCTGGTATAGGGTTGACAAGGAAATGTTTTAAAAGTCAATAATAATGTAAGGGTATTCAGGAGGAAGTCACTCAAACGAACATGGAATTTTAAATAATCATTCAAGGAAAGTATTTGGCCTTTTTCTAATAACCAGTCCAGCAAAATAACAGTTGGAGCACGAATCATGAAAACAGCTGTAACATTTCAAGCTGCAGCCCTGTTCAGTGATTGTAAAGACAACGGCACTCTGAACCAGTCTGCCTTTAGGTGAACTCTGAGACTCACATGGGAATCATTTATGACCCTTCTGACTTAACACAGACTGTTTTACATTATCCAACAGCTGTAAAGTCATATCTTATCAGCGTGGAAAGTGATTGCTTTTTTAAAATTTCTGCACTTTGAAATTTCAAGCTATAGTTTGGTTTCAGGGTTTCATTTTTTCCCTCATGTGTTTGTTTGCATGTCTTCTTTTTTTCTGCAGCTCCAAAGAATTATTCAAAGGAAGTGATGATCGGCTTGTCAGCAGTGGTTGGATTTCTTGCACTAGTGTTCATTGTTACCATGACCCACACCATGTGCAAAAGGAGAAGAAGAAACCAGAAGACCAGTGTGGTGAATATGGAAAAATTGTGAATAAAGAAAGAATACAGGGAAAACTTGATTAAAGATTTCTTTCAATTTGATTTCCCATATTTATTGTAAAGATGTATAATATATAATGTATAATAATTTCAGATGTGAAAGGGGGGTCAGGATAAAATCTCTGACAGTTATTTGATAACTGGTTCCAGCGAGGAAAGAGGTTGACTTAAAAACTACCTGGCTGAAAATGTTTGAATTGGAGAGCACTTATTATTTCATGAATTAGAAATCAGTTAATTTCATCTCATTCAGAAACAATTCTGTCAAATCTATTTGTAAACTTTGATGTGAAAAAATAAAAAATAACTAATTGGTTACAATCAGTCTGCCTCTGAAATAAAAGGCCTTGCTCTGTGACTTGCAGACTCTCCTGGTTTAACTATAAAGTTTCATCTTGTGAACAAACTTCAGGCACAATCTCATGTTGATGTTTTGACAGGATTTGTACATGTCTGAAATCTAAACTCGCTGAAAGGCAACAGTGAATGATCAATCTTTGTTTTTGATTATTTTTCTGATTCATGTTTAACTATAAATAAGAGTTCAAAGACAAAAATGATCAAACTGATATTGTCAACCTTACTTTTGGTAGAAATCTGTCTTAAAACTAAAACTAGGACCAAAATATCCTCACTTAGGCTCACATGGATTATTTTTTTGGTTCCCTAAGGCTCCTTAGACTAACCTCCAGATGGTTTGAATGACTACTTGAGACATTATTTATTTTTGGCCCTGATATTAAGTTGTTAATAATGTTTTTAATCAACACTCATTTGTTATCAACATAATAAATTGATGTTTGAAAGTATATTGATGTTTGAATGTCGGTTTTCTTAAAACTGTTCATTCATTTCAGCAGCTGTAGTCCTTTCATTTCTTCGGCCTCTTCCCTGCAGTACTCTGTGACTCTTAGACAAACAACGCCCTCTGCTGGTTTGACCTGTTTAACGCCGTCTAACAACAACAACAGCAGCAGTACAGGCGAACGGGAAGTAGATACATTTTAACTGGAAAAAAGCGCGGCCAAATTAAGCTGCTTGGATCAAATACTGCAGTAGCTTTGCTTTTGTAAAACGGTTTTTGGAGCAGTGTTTGTGTTTTTGCAGCCGTCGTCGGGGAACTCCGCTGGGTTAGGACAGAGAGGATGTCACGAAGATGAACTGTTATGCATAAAACGCCCTCAGGAAGGACACTGAGCAATGCATCGGCATTGAAATAACTCTCTATAACTCATTGCTGCTTTTCTGTTTAATCCAACTTAAGCGTTTCGTGTCGGTAAGTGCAGCTCTGAGTCTGGCGCAGTTTGTTAAGATACCGCGACTGCAAACAAAATGGAGGTTAACAACAATCGTCTGTTAAGTTGTTTTGAGGCGAATATGGATCCGTCTTCCTTATACCTTTTACTTTAGGTGTAAATTCATCGATTAATGGGGAATACATCTGCTCAGAGAAGAGGACAGAAGAATTTGGAGGGAAAAGGAGCGCTGCTGTAAGCCGGTGAGACAAAGTAAACACAACCAACTCGGACACCTCCGACATAAGCGTCAGGATTGTCCCTACCTGCTGTGCGTAAACACGCAAAGATGCTTCACCTACAGCCACAAACTAAGAACTAGGAGGAGGAACCAGGTACCTCAACATGACGGACTCGGGGGATGCAGCAAGTGCCCCCGGTTCCTCTGGCCTCAGCAGCGGGGCAGGGCCGAGCTTCACGGCGGGGAGAGGGCTGCCAGGACGGGTGAGGGGCCTGTCCTCCACTGCTCCTCCTGGAAGGCTTCCCTCCCTCAGAACCAGAGACCTGACACTGGGGGGAGCCATCAAAAAACCAAAGGTAACAAGTGGCAAAGGGTTAGACATATAGACGCAGCCGCAGAATATCATGGCTGAAAAGACTGACTATTCAGAGTTGAGGGGGAAAGGGAGTTAGGAAAAGGTAAACAGTAGTGACAGCAGACCTGAGAGGACTATCAATTTAAGAATTAAGTTGACAGTCTTGTTATATATTCATGGAGATGCTGATTCTCTTTTCCAGCACCTACCCACAGCACCAAAACTACTACCATATGGTTTGTTGACCATGATATTGGTCAACCAACTCACTCTGAACCTAATAGAGAATATGCTGGATATTTAACCACTGAAAGATGAGCACACCTGCTTTACGCTACACTCCATAAATGCTGTAATTCATGGCTATTTGCCGAAATTATCAGAATTTTAACAAAAGTACTGACATATTTACATTTACATCCAATGAATAGAAGTTATATTCATCAATTACACTGAAAAAATACACTTTTACATGATATTCATATTTTTTAGCAGCCCCATACATATTCTATTTCAGCAGTGGGCATCATGTAGCAACAATCAAAGGATCCTATTGTTTAAAAATGTCTCAAAACATCCATGCAGGCGCGTACAACCTCATCGTAAAGATTAGTTATAATAGTCATGGAGGCCTAAACTGTTTCTTTCTGTCTTTCTGGATTTGCTAGGCTTCGCACAGGGAGCGAAAAACTAATTTCCTCCCTGTAGAGGGTAGTCTGGGATCATGGCCAACTTCAGAGTCAGTCACTTAAATTTCGTTTGAAGGCTGCTTTAGCACAGGTGCTAATAGGAGGGTTAAGTGTGTGCTGCTTGTTGAAAAGGAAAATGGTGCCAACACCAAAATGCAAATTAAAGGCCTGTCATCCTTTATTATTTGATCGTTGAGCATGGAATAAGTGAAGCTTCTTGAATATGCTTGCATGTGTATCTTTATGCTCACAAATATTGCCCTTTTATTTAACTAATGATTCATGCTTCTCTCTTTCTCGAAGAAAACCTTTGAGCCAAACATCCACACTGTGAGGAAGAGCAAAGACGAGTGAGTGACAATAAACCAGAGTGATGCAGACTCCTGTTTGGTAATCAAAGGTTGAATTGTTGCATGTTGTGTGTCTGTCAGTGATTAGTTTATGAATGTTATTTCTGATTTATCTTCAGGTTAAAAGAGGAGGTGCGGACGCCTCAGAAGAAAGAGAGAAGAGATAGGGATGAGAGAAGGAGAGAAAATAGAGGGAGGAGGAGAGAGAGGCCTCAGACCATACAGTCTCACTCCATCTTTGAACAGGGTCCTGCAGATACCATACGCAAGACAGGTGGGCTATCTCTTTCTGTCTCGGTCACTCAAATAAAATCTAGACTTGGTCACAGATTCACAATCAACTGTTCTCTCTGCTCAGGCTGGCGCGGTGCTGCAGACTCCTACGACTCCACCAGCTCTTCAGTGTGTAAACTGGTGAAGAAGGAGAAGACAGAGTCTGAGGAGGATGAAGATGAGATTCTCTCCAAACTTCAAAGAGATGACGTGAGTATTTCAGTGCTTCCCATCATAGCATGGATTCACACATTTTCAACCCTATCTGAAAAGAACAACAGTAATTACACAGTGTGACCAGCAGCATGATGATGGCGATTGTGTGTAGGTGTGGAGGACTCCCGCTGTGTGTTTATAAGTCAGGCCTCTCACTTCCACAACACTGTAATGTGATGTGAAATCACACTCTGGGTTATGGCATCCTGGGGTGCAGTGTGTAAGTAGTAGTGGAACTTTGTCACAGCGTTGTTGCAGAATCACTGTTTGTAAGAGGTTTTAATCAGCAAACCTCATTAATACATACTGAAGTGGACTTTTTCTTATCTTGGATCATTTTTGTGCTGTGAATTTAAGGGGTTATCTCATCATTAGTGTGTCTGGGGTGAGCAGGAGGGGCTCCAGCAACAAGTGTGTGCACTCTCTGAGTGACACTCTCATCACCTCTCTGTAAAAAAATACATATTAAGCTTCTTCACGAAAAGTTTTTTTGGAGTTATTAGTCCTGTCACAGTCCCAAGAACTTTGTGTCAGCAGAGTACCGATGTCCTCTGTGTTATACAGTGTAGCGTGATGTTCCTATTGGTGTGCATTTGTTGCGTGTATGTGCCTACACCTGCAAAGCACCGACATGCAAAGAGCAGAAGAGGAGTTGCAGCTACACTGAAATGCAGAAAACTTTTAAAAGTTTTTTTTTTCTTTTAACAAACTGGCTATTTGGTACAATTTCCTGGCTCTGCTGTGAATAAGAAAAACAAAATTCTGGCTGCATTGGAACTTTGCAGGGTTGGCTTTAGTTTCGGATCCTGCATGAGCTTTAAACCTTGTTTGTTTTTATATCATTTTAAAGTTAGTTTTCATTTTGAATCCTGTAAAAAAAATGTACAGAACCAAGACTCAAAGACCAAGAAATGTACTGTTACATCCCCTGTATAACCAACCACACCTCTGGATTCCTCTGGCATAATACAGTGTTATTTCCACAGTTTATAGATGATCCAGGTCTAAGGAACGATGCAAAGCTGAAACCCATCCAACTGCCTCTGAGTCAGTCCATCACATCCAGCAAATCATGTGAGAAAACCTCTGATTTATTCTGCTGCATGACACACTAAAAATGTTGCAGCTTCAGTACATTTGTTTCCATTCACATGTGTGCTGAGGTTTCTTTGGTTACATTGGCAGGTTCAGAGAACCCTCCTCTCTTCAGACCCCCGTCCTTTGGAGCTCAGAGTCGAGTGAGCCACATGACAGCAGAGCCTCCCAAACAAGATCAGCCATCATTGGCAGAGTTGCTGCAGGATCTGAGCCTGTCTGGCAGAGAAGAGCTCTTCTTCATGCAGCTACCAGACTGTATGCCTGGCAAAGTGTCCGGGCAGAGGGTCGACCCTGCACTTGGAGCTGCAACAGAAAAATCTGCCAAGAGGGAAGGCAAGGCAGAGGACAAGAAGCCTGCATATCTACAAGCACAAGTGGGTGAAGAGGAGAGACACAGACACTCCTTTCAGACTTGCTTAAAGTTCCTGAAAGTTTTTACTGTGAATATTTGGTTGGCTAGATGTTTGTGAAGTGGAGCTAAAATGTACAATCCTAAAAATCTGACAAATAAATATGACACAGGTTCAAAAACTTCCCACATATTCTTGGAAAAAACTGTTTCATTGTCCCTCATCTGTTGCTGCTGTTTGAAAATAACCGACCGTTTCCAGGGAATATTGACCAATTAGAATCAAGTATACCACGCAGCCTGCAATAATGAGAGCCCTGTGTCTTTGCATCTCTTTAGGACACTGGGGGTAAAGAGAGCTGTCCTGTGCTGTCCCAGTTCCCTGAGGGGCTTCTGGGTAAACTGCAGATCAGGAGGTCAGGGAAGGTGGAGCTGAAGATGGGAGATGTGGTCATGGATGTCTCAGAGGGAGCCGCCTTCTCCTTCCTGCAGGTACTGTTGGCGTTTTGTGAGTTATGCCCCTCCGTATTATCCCTCTCCGTATTCATGCAGTCAGTTCAGACATCTTTTCTTCTTTCCCTTGCAGCAACTGGTGTCAGTGCGTCTGTCTGATGGCCGGACTGGAGACATGATGGTGTTGGGAAACGTTAACCACAAACTGGTTCTATCTCCGGACTTCCAGGCTTTACTGAGACACTCTTCAGCGCCAAAGCAACAGAGGCCCTGATCCGTGGATGTGGCATCACTTGACACAAAAAAAACCTCTCATCTGCAGCTTGGACAGCGGACTGAAGGTCACAGACCCTGAGATGTAAACATTTGTCTGAATTCCAGAGGATGGCTGTTGTGATGGAGGCCTTGTTTAGACGATAACAGACACATTTCAAATGGAAAAGTCGCTCTTGTGCATTTTGAAACGATTTGCACTCTTGCAACAATGTTGGGAAAGCAGTGCACTTGCACAGGGATCTGCAAAAACGACTGAAACACTGGGGTATGCATGCCATGACAGGAGTTTGAAGTACATTATTGTAATGAAACACCACTGAGGAACATTCAAGAATGCACATAAAGCCGTTCTTGAGCAGAGAATTTGCGATTGGGGCTCTGAAATCACTGATCTCAAAATAATTCCACCCTGAAATTTCACCCGCCCGATACGTCACTTTAGTGTAAAGGCGCAGCCAAAACACAATGTCTTAATGTGACTTCTCTTGAACGTGTTTCTGTATGAACACCCTCTCAGACATGGATCTATTAGTGCACAAACATATCAGTGTGACAGCTCGTCTAATATCTAAAGTCCAGACCTCTGCTGTGAGGTTATTTTGGCAGCTATGCAGGTTACATTTAGTTTTCAAACAGTTGAATCCTCAAAATTTTTGTTTTGCTATCTTTTTGAAATCGGCCTCCAGTCTGTTAAACTTTTCTATATGGTGTGAAGACTCTAGAACATAAGAAGTGGGCAGCCTCTTTGTTTTAAAATTGAACCCAATCAAAAAAAGTGCCTCAAGCTGCAATCATTGTAAAGACCAGCAGGGGAGGGGGTAGCTCTCTAAGGTTTTATAGCTCAAAGCTCCTGTGAAGAGCTGTATGGTGGTTATGGATCAGACTGGAACTAATACTGATGTCTACCTGAGCTAGAAGAGCAAACAAACCCATCAGCAACAACACAAATACTTCCATATTGTTATTTTTAAAGCCTGAAAGTGCTGCAGCTCAAAGATAGGTGTCCAGTAAGGATGCAAATTTGAATTATTCTCCATGATCAATCTTTAGAAATGTTACCATTCACGTATCCATCACTTGATAAGACAGTTTTAACTGTTATATACATTTTTCCTTTTATCATATATTTTCTCATTACACCTATTAACTCTCCAGGCTTTGTGAAGCAGCTTTTGTCCGGGCGTGTTGAGCTTACTTCGTTGTACGCCCCTCTAGTTCAAGGGTGTGCCATGCATACCTAAGCAGTCATCCAAATATGGTTACTTCTAAACAAGGTCCACAAACCTCAGTGGCTGCATCCACTTCTTATTCACTATCTGTCCATGAAATCAAGTTAACAGAGCCAGGTTTAAGTCCCTTCTCCTCTGATATTCAACTGCTCTGGTGTGACTAATGTTTGACACTTTGTTCCAACATAGCACTGTATTTTTATTGATAGGTGCTTTTGTTACTGAACTCTTATACCAATGTGAGCGTTACAGTGAGCTTCTTGAGTCATTCACTGTTGTGTATTAGACTAAATGTTATTGTCACTGCACTGATGTACAGCTTGTATTGGTCACTTTTGTATTTGGCAAACTTGAATACAATCGTATTTTCTAATGTTTCTATTCATACTTTTTTCGATCATGGTATCACTGAACTTTTCCTTCACTGTCATTAAATCCTCGTGTTTCAAGTGTAGGAGCAGCAGAAATTTAACAGCAGCTGTGGATGGTTTCTTTAATAAGAGAATTTTAGTAATATAATTTATAATATCTCAAGAGCACTTATTGATTTGTAGCCTCTGTAGTTGTCCACCAGGTGGTGCCATTTTGTTGCGCCTCAGTGCAAATGCATACTTTTTTCCCCAGCAAGTGTGGGCATTTTTGAGGCTACTGAAGGCCAATACAAACTAAACTAAAATAGCCTCTTTCAAAATCTTCTTTCTTCTAATAACACGTACCACATTCATTGAGTGCACTTTCAGTACCTTGGATAGATAGATAGATAGATAGATAGATAGATAGATAGATAGATAGATAGATAGATAGATAGATAGATAGATAGATAGATGGATAGATAATTTTTTACAACACTGCCATCAGATCATTTGGAATTGATATCTTAAGTTACATTTTATTAAACTCACTTAAATGTTTATATCAGCTTTAGTCCTATTCAAATATGCATTCCTTTAAAGTACATGCACTCTATGTGTAAAAGTGTTGTGACTGCTATTGGTAATGCAAAAAGACCAATAAGTTACATTTCTCATGTATGGTGGTTTTAGTAGAGTTAACACTGGCATTGGTGTTGAGGAAGAATGGCATATATTCTTAAATGAACCTTAAAAATGGTACCACCTGGTGGACATCGGTTAAAATTACACATTAAACAGAATACTTGTACAAGAAAAAGCTTACTTCTACCAAATGGTGTATTCACTATAACCCCAAAACGGGCACAACAAGCCAGACACTACATCCAGAGTTTGGGACATGTGGTCCACACCCCCTTGTCTGTGTTTGTCTAGAAAGAGGAACCTGTGGGCAAATAGAGGTGAAATTATCTGCATGTCCCACCTTTCGGTTTGAACAATTCTCACACTATGATACTCTCAATAGAGGAGTTTTATCCTCCCCCCAATCTAGTATTCAATTCTTATGGGCGTCAGTCAGTTTGTGCATAATTCAAAAGAGGTACAAGAGAAGGTGAGGAAGTAAAGTGGGGTTAGTTAGAGAGGAAGAGGAGAGGATGGCAATAAGACAAGGAGGGATGGTGTAAGCTGATGTCACATTTGAAAGACAGGGCAGCTGACTGGAAATGAGAATAGACGAGGACACAAAGAACACTTGTCATCCACCGTCCTTTGCAGCAGCATGCAAGAAGACTGGGATTAGGGTGGTTTAGAGAGAGAAAAGGGATAAGAGTGGTTTTATGCACAACAGGAGTCTCCAAAGTAACCTGCCTCCTTTTGTATGAGTCAAGGTGAACACATTAACTCAGTAAATTCCTAAACATGTCAAACAAACCTTAAGACACAGAGAAGAAAACCTTATCCAAAGAATTCGAACTGGATAGCAGAAAAACTATTGTAATTTCAAACCTTCAGGGCACAAGTAATAGCACAGGGTTGCTGTTACTGTTCACAAAATGTTCAATTCCCAGTAGTCTGGCGCTTAAAATGCAGAAAATCTCATACATATTTAAAGTGCCATTTTGTAATGATCCCCATGATACACGGCAGATGTTTGCAAGGTTGTGCACAGGACAAAAGAGCCAAAGATGCTGATCACTGGTGTTTCAGCTTCCTCTCTTTCTCTCCCCCATTTGAGCAAGAGTGAGTAAGGGAAACAGTTCAACAGTTCATATACAGCTGCCATTGCTCAGACTTTGTGTAAAAGTTAGTTTCATCATCTAATAATGATTTTAAGTTACCGTTCATACAGCTACGTCATTACTACTATGACTCGCTAAAGTGGATGCTGGGAGTGTTGACATTTGGCTGTTATGGATTTTAATCTATAACAACATTTGATGTGAGGATCAAAACCCTCCTCAGTAACCACCGGCGTTCCTCAGGGATCTGTCCTGGGTCCCCTCTTGTTAGTTTTCTACCTCCTATCTCTAGTGTCCTGTTTTCAGCAAAGTTAGTATTCAGATTCATTGCTACACAAAAGACACCCGGCTCTATCTTTGGGGATGCATAACTTAATGTCTATATCTTAAAAATGCATTCATTATAAAACAAATAGACTGCAACAATAAGAGTAACATGTAAGTTCTATTACAGGAGAAACTTTGATTCCAACACATGATTAGCAGTAAGTGCAAAGCAGTTCTGCCTTGAATCCTGACGAGTGACATAATGGTTACTCTTAAAACAAGCATGCATGGTGTATGTTATTTGTTCCTTTTTTCATCCATTGCAACACTTTTTCTATTTTTGGCTCTGCCCTCTGCTTTGCTCTGTGTCAAGTGATAATTATTTCTACATTCCTACAACTGTCCGTATCTGAAAAATGTGACTTCTACGATGTCTAATAGTGAGGTACAAATAAAAGCAATCACTTAACGCATATTGTGATAAAAAAAAATCCCAGAAGTGATTGTGAGGACTGCAAGGTGTTGGGATGTTTTCGCTTTATGTTTTATTTCCATTGGATTCCAAAAGTTTCACCCCTAAGCTGGGAAAACTCATTTCAAGGAAATGTCTGCTGGTCATAACCCCACAGTTTCCAGTGCCTCCCTCATTATCGCCGTCAAGTGTTTACAGTGACTTCATTAGCAGCCAGCCCCATAATGATAACAAAGCTTAAAAGAAGGCATCAATGGCAGTGATAAGCATGGCCAAGCTACTATTTTGGATGACACAAGTCCCCGTGTTTACTCTGGGAGCATGGGAGCGGACATCAGGACTGTGGTCCGTGCATTGGGGATCTCCATTTGCAAACCTTGCCATCGCAAAGTCTGTTTTCAGGCAGGAAAGGAGGCAAAGTTTCTGTCATTTCACCAGCTAAGTCAGAATTGGATTTCAAAATGCGGAGCTCCAGATCGTTCCTGTTCCAGGTTTGTTTGAGTCTGGTGGTCTCTGTTGGCTTCTGCTTATGTAAACCTCTCAACAACGACATCCAGAGTGAGTACGATGAGAGGTTCTACTCTCAGCTGTCAGAAGAGGACCTTCTGGAGGAGGAAGACACCGATGCCAGGATGGAGAACCTCTTAGGGACCATGAAGGAGGGCTTTTTGAGACAACTCAACCTGTCAGATGTTCCTCACGAGCACAGCAAGATCTACCCTCCTCAGTTCATGATGGAGCTCTACAATAAATACGCCTCAGACAGCTCGACGATCCCTCAGTCTGATGTCATTCGAAGCTTCACGGTTCAAGGTACGAGAAAGAGGTGTAAAAGTTAAATATGTAATGATCTTCAGACAGCTCTTCACCTTTTATTGTTGATACTTACGTTTCATTTATGCTGTTGAGGCTATAAATCTATTATTTTACCAAGAAAAGGAAAATAGAAATCACTCTGAATTAGAATTCACTCAGTTGGATGAAGACAAATACTTTTTGTCAAACACAACATTTTTGTTTAAATAGTGTCTTAGATGTTTGTGAGGTCAGTTATTGACAATTTAAAAACGGACATAAATGGATGAAGACTGAGACTCAATCAACCAATCATGAGGTCAAAGGTTCGATTCCAGGTCCTACTGCACACCAGTGCAAGCCAATGCATCCTTGGGCAACACACTTAACCCTGAACTGCTCCCTGTGGCTGTGCCAGTGGTGTGTGAGTGAGATTACTCAATACAAATTGGGGCTGATATAAAGAACAAAACACTGAGAACAGGAGGGAAACAGTGTCAAACACAAACTAGAAACTCACAGGACTGGACTACAGGGTAACAGGATTAATAGGGAACAGAAACACTAGGGGAAATAGACAAAATGCTCTCAAATAAAACCAGGAGAAAACTAAATAAACAGAGCATATCATGACAAGTTGTAACACATTATATCTATCCAAATAATGTTTGCACACTATAGTATATGGTACTATACATTTATACAGTATAACACACATTAGTTTTAACTTTATGATATCTGACTTAATTTGTTTATACAAACCATTTAACAAGGTATTAGATCATAAGTGCTACTTGAACAACCATCAAAATGTTTGGTATGTCTATTATAAGCAATGATACAATATAACAAGTTAGAGAGCAATATTGAGTGAACATTATAAATAGTTGTTTTATTTTTTAACAGTAACATCACTATTGACTGAAGATGATTAACTATTTATTAATTGTTTATTAGCATGTATATATGATTGTTATTATAAAAGATACCCCTCCTTTTGAACCAGCGTGTTTCATTTGCTGTTAAATTCAAACATGGTTATTGATGGGACCTCCTGGGTTTTTGTAGTGGACACTTCAAGAACTGCATTTTTTTTCCACCTCGGCATTAGCTTCACATTTCAACACCAAATGCTTCAATTTGTCGAAAACTGTGACTGCAGTCCACTTACGTATTTACTATTGTTTTTGTTAAGAGCAGGGTTGTGACTCTCCTGAATCAAAGAAAGGCAGCAGGCTAGCTTAATCTTACACCAGACCTCAAAATTTCAACAGCTGTTTTAAATAAACCCTCACTTTTTTGTTTTTCTCCAACAGATATCACTCTTTCTGCGACAAATGGCACAAAGACGAAACACAGACTGCAGTTCAACGTCAGCATCCCAAGCCATGAGAAGATCACTAATGCTGAACTTCAGCTCTTCTTTTTCAGAGAACCCGGGTCAACGGCCAACTCAGATAGATTCAAGGCCACCGTCAAAGTCTATGAAGTGGATTACAACAGTTTCACATCCTCAAACCAACTTCTGGTGGGCAAAGAGGTGACAGCCTCACAGAGCACATGGGAGACCTTCGGTGTGACCACAGCTATTCAAAGCAGGATCAAGTTTGGCGAGGGGGCAACAGTTTTTGATGTGGTGGTAGATAGCAAGGACTGCGAAGCCACTGTAAGTGGAGAGGAAGGAGTAGGGTGTTTAAATATGAGCATGTCTGTAGGAGATAACACTTCAGCAGCGTTAATAGTCTTCTCAGATGACCTGGGTAGTCGGAGGAGAGAGAAAAAGAAGGAACTAAAAGAAATGATCCTCCATGAAGAAGAAACCATCCTTCATTCGGGGGCTGATTGGACCAGAGAAGGTCAGCTTTTGAATGAGATCCCTGAAGCCCAACAACCTCGTAGAAAGAAAAGAAGAGCAGAGAGGGAGTACTGCCAGAGGACCTCTCTCAAAGTCAACTTTAAAGACATCAACTGGGACAGCTGGATTGTTGCTCCTCCAGAATATGACGCCTATGAATGTCGAGGCCTTTGTTACCACCCGCTGACAGACGAATCAACCCCATCAAAACACGCCCTCATCCAGACTCTGATCAACATCAGGGACCCTAAAAAGGCCAGCATGGCTTGCTGTGTCCCCATCAAACTGGACCCCATCACAGTGATGTATCAGGAGAATGGACGCCTCACTATAAGATATCTTTATGAGGAGATGAAGGTGGCAGAGTGTGGGTGCAGGTAGTCAGGCAGGATTGTGATGGTTTTAAAGTTGGATTTCCGTGTCTTGCTTTGGTTCAGTATGAGCAAAATAGTCAAGGTCTAAGAAGACACATGGATGCCAGCTACCTGCTATAGACTGTTGGATAGCCACTAAATGTGAAGTCGTTTAAAGTAATCTAAATACTCCTCCTTTAGTAACAACATCCATTACACCTTTGATACATAACTGTACAATCATGTTAGCATCTCTGTGAGACTGACTGATGTTTTAACCCTTACAGTTTCATCTTGATGTTCATGTAAAAGCTGAATGTTGTGCACTCATAATCTTCGTAACATTCATAATCTGTCTTTGGTATGCCAGCACATTGGCTTTCACTCGAACTTGATCCTTAGTATGTTCACTTTGAGCTGAAGCTGGCATTCGCAATAATAAAGACAACATGGCAACCTTATTTATGTATGCAAACGTGCTAGCACTTTAGCTAACACCCAAATGCCTCTGTTAGCATGTTAGCTCTGAACTTGATAAAGGGAAATATTTTCAGTCAGTAGCCTACTTTATTCATGGTTTTAGTTTAACATGATGGCACAATGGCTTACACCCTTGAGCTCATGCATGATGTGCAAAATAGTATCCTGGGCATGCGCACAATGATAATGAAAACATGATAATAATAATAATAAGTATATTTATATCTTTTAGCAATAGTGTGTTAGTCTGTTAGCATTTGTTAATCATCCCTTATCTAACAGTGGTTTTCAGGAATGTCCAAGCCTTTTCAAAGGAGTCAGACATCACACAAAGCTTGTTTTGATGAGATGAAACGCCAGTCATGATGGAAATCAAAACACATGGCTCTGTGTTTAAAGTTTAAAGGTTCAGTGTGTAAAAAGGAGAATATTTAGCAATATCTAGCAGTCAGGTTCCCAATTGAAATGTCCCCCTACTCACAACTTCAATTACTGAGGCAATGGTAACCCTCAATTACAGGACGCTCCTGTGATGTTTGACAAGTGTGATCCCCAATTTGTAAAAGTTCTCCGATATGAAGTATGTACGTTGAGGTCGTATCCATACAAATTATTTTTTCACACAATAACCACTTCCTACTTCTTTGTATATAAACCTGGTCATCTTTCAGTACACAAATGTGAAAAGTACTCAGTCCATTCTGAGCTACAGCAGCCACACAACAGAGCAAGATCACAGCCTCCATCTTTTTTCATTTAGGTCATTATACACTAATTTTGATATAGAATTTGACTTGTGAATGTTGTTTTCCATTAATACCAGGTTTGTTGTGTTCAGTGCCACTTAATACTACCCAGTGTACCTTTAATGGCTGTCCGTTAAACTTTTTTTCCCTTTTTTTTTCAGATTAAAGTGGATAGATTTTCAATGATATTAGCCAATGCTGCATGGTGATATATATCAAACCAATACAGATGTTTTTTTTTTTTTTGTCATTTCAAAACTCAACCAACAGCAAAGCAAAAACAGAACATGCCTCCTCACTCCTCACCTATTTGTTGATTTTAATCTTTCACTGTGTTGTTCAATGTTTCCATGAAAACATGAAAATCAGATTGTTAAAGGGCAAATAATATAAAACAGAACATCAATTGTGTAAAATAATGAATATAAAATAATAAAATCATTAACAATATTTAGAATATAAAGAACTTTTTGGCTATCAATGTAACAAAAACATCACTTCAGAGGTACACGTATGAATAAGCATTATTTTGTATATTAAAGTTTAGAGAGTTACCATTTCACTTTTACTATAGTCTACAATAGATCACAGTTCAACTCATGTAAATCATTTTTCTGTCAACATGTAGATTACCAATGTGATTTTTATGTAAATTTTATTATACAGTGTATTCAGGGGATCTGCAAACCATTATCAAACTCATTGTTTGAAAACATATTTTTCAGCTTTCACTCTCTAGAAAATGATCACAGCAGACATATCTAGAGCTCAAATGACAAAAACAACATAGAAATACCAAAATATTGTAATATTTTCCAATTAAATGTTGGTGTTATAGTAAAATTATTATTTTGAGTTTTTACAACCTGATAATGCACTTCACTGTCTACAACACAATTGAGTTTACTGAAAACACCCAATAACAACAAATTTGATTATAATAAGGAGCATTAAATAAGAAAATTTGATTAGGGTCCTCGACTCACTTTTCCTTTCTGTTTAAAACATGTAAACTGCTTTAAAAATTTTATTGGCATTTACATCATTTAACATATACGAGATCAAGTAGGTATCTGTTTCCAACATTCATCTTAAGAAGTGCTACCATATACAAACAACGATGGTCATTTAACAATAAAACATTAAAGTGCTCATCAAAACTGGAATTCGTTGTCACTGGTTCATAAATGCTCACTGGATGGCAAAGCATGATGTAAATATTATAAATAGGGTATTGTAATTAATATTTTTAAACCCCCATACATCATTGCTATGTAGACCTGTTTTTCTTATCTAAAATGATTCTATGAATTTAATTAAAGATATCTTATATTCCACTAATGAGAGCAAGCTGTGACGATACAAGACTTTTAGTTTCCCTGCACTAGATTTGAGCCCATGATCATTGCACTCAAAGACAGGCACTCTAGGATAACAAAATAAGTGCTTTTTTAATCTGTTTTGTACTCAGAGTAGTGGGGCAATGGCTTTAAAATGCAGAGTACAGTATTAAGAAATGATGGGCGTGTCCAAAAAATTGGCAGAGGGGATAGTATTGTGTAACACGAAAGGCAGATCAATGGTAAGACGTTAAGATTAACTAAGCACCATCTTGCATTTCAAGAAGATGCACCTGATGACATGTCCAGAGTCCAAAAGGACCAAGTTTTCAATTACTGAGGGGATAAAAACAAGCTTCTCTGTATCATCACATAAAGTTTTTTTCTGTTTCCCTTCACACAAAATGAAAAGATGTGAATTTAGTTTAAAAAATGGAAAAAAAAGGAAAAAAAGAAACATAAATGGAACAACTGCGAGGCAAAAAAGGAAAAAAATTAGCAAATAATTCAGCCTTCAGAAACAATAAAGATCCATGAACCGAGCTTTTTCCTATAATCCGATTATCTCTAAGTGTATGTGCACGTGTGTGTTTATGTGTGTGTGTGTGTGTGTGTGTGTGTGTGTGTGTGTGTGTGTGTGTGTGTGTGTGTGTGTGTTTATGTGTGTGTGTGTGAGCATACACACACGAGATTTTTTTTCTGGCATGTGTTTTTTGAGGACTGTGCCACGTGTCTACAAACTGTGTAATCATGTCACCAGTGGAGCGACCCAGACATGACCTCTAAATCTACCGATGGCACCAAAATACACCAGCAGCTTTCACAACAGACGCAGAAGAAACAGTGTGAGAGTTTCTGATCCCCTTCACACATAAATGAGTCCACACTTAACAAGTTTTATCCAGACTCTTGAAGCTGTATATTATCTAACAAGAACATTAAGGAAATGTTGGTGTGGGTTATATGAAATACAATGAGCATGGAAAATTGCTGTACCAGTGAATCTGCATTCTCATTATAAGTTAAAGTGAATAAGTTGATGTATTTATTACCCCCTGTATAAGACAAGACAGCTGCTCAAATATAATGGGAGTATTTGGGAAAGAAGTGAGCATCTGTGCTGGCTCCTATTGACCAATTTTTGTCTGTTATTGTTTTCATGTTGATGTCATAGCAGATTATACGATTAAAGGTTTATATGGGACAAAAGCCTCTTATGTTAACTTTGTAAAAAAAAAAAAAAAAACTGACAAAGACAATGTCTCCTCCTATAAAAGAAAAAAAAACTGAATCTCTCGACACAGATAAATAAACCGACACACTGAAGTGATAAAGAAGACAGTGTGAATCTCTTTCCAGGGGTAATGATGAAGACATTGGCAATGGCATCACCTCTGGTACTGACACTCCTTCTTCACACTGTGAGCTCAACTTTCCAGCCTGCTTTGGTGATAGAAATGGCCAAGGTTCTGCTGGATAACTACTGCTTTCCTGAGAATCTCGTTGGGATGCAGGAGGCCATCAGACAAGCGATCAACAGTGGAGAAATACTGCAGATTTCAGACAAGAAGACTCTGGCAGCTGTGCTTACAGTCGGAGTACAAGGGGCGCTCAACGATCCAAGATTGACTGTGTCATATGAGCCAAATTTTGTGCCAGCAATACCATCGTCTCTTCCCAAAGAGCAGCTGACCTGGATAGTAAGAAACTCCGTCAAGCTGGATATCCTTGACAACAATGTTGGGTACTTGCGGTTGGATCGGATCATCGGTAAAGAGACAGTGACAAAGCTTGGCTCTCGGCTGAGGGACAACATTTGGGACAGAGTTGCTGAAACTTCCTCCCTCATCCTTGACCTGAGGTATAGTACAGCTGGAGAACTGTCTGGTGTTCCCATTATAATCTCCTATTTCTCCGAGCCCGGGAACCTCATTCAAATAGACACTGTGTATGACAGGCCCTCGAATACAACCAGGGAACTGTGGACCATGCCATCGATAAGAGGGAAAAGGTTTGGTAAGAAGAAAGACCTAATCATTTTGACCAGTAGACGTACAATTGGTGCTGCTGAGGCTGTGGCATACACATTAAAGAACCTTAAGAGGGCCATTATAGTTGGGGAAAGGTCCGCTGGTGGGTCAGTAAGAGTCCAAAAGGTGAGGATTGCTCAAACAGATTTCTACATTACTGTTCCTGTGGCAAGATCAATAAGTCCGATCACAGGCCAGAGCTGGGAGGTTCGTGGAGTTTCCCCAACCGTCAGCGTCAACGCTAAGGAAGCTGTCACAAGAGCCAAGTCCCTTCTCGCAATAAGGAGAGCAATTCCAAAAGTTGTGCAGAGTATTTCAGACATAATTGGGAGGTTTTATGCCTTCACAGATAGAGTCCCAAGTCTTCAGCAACAGCTTCAGTCCATAGACTTGTTCCCTGTGGTATCCAAGGAGGATCTGGCTGCCAGACTCAATGAGGAACTCCAAGCAGTGTCAGAGGATCCAAGACTTGTCATTAGATACAACCAAGACAGTGCTGCTAAGACAGAGGACGATCCTGAGCTTTACGATATACCTGATCACCTGGAAGAATTGACTGAACTGGTAGACACGACGTTCAAAGTGGAAATTCTCCGACATAATACTGGCTATCTCCGCTTTGATAAGTTTGTCAAATTGTCAAATTGGGCTCGACTTGAAGGGCTTTTGGTCAAAAAGGTCTGGGAGCCCCTTAAAGATAGCGATAATCTGATTATTGATCTGCGCTACAACGCTGGTGGGTCATCATCGTCTTTATCCTTATTATTGTCCTACTTGCAAAATTCATCCCAGAAACAACATTTTTTCACAATATATGACAGGATTCAGAATATAACAACTGAATATTTTACTTTGCCTCGAATAAGTGGTGTAGTTTATGGCTCCAAACGTGGGGTCTATGTTTTGACAAGCTACCATACAGCAGGTGTTGGCGAAGAGTTTGCTTACCTGACACAGTCCTTACATTTTGGCACAGTCATTGGGGAAATAACATCAGGTAACCTGCTGCACTCAAGGACATTTTCAGTAGAGGGGACAGATATTAGTATCACTGTCCCTTTTATTAATTTTTTAGACAATGATGGTGAATGCTGGCTTGGAGGTGGTGTTGTCCCCGATGCCATTGTGCTGGCTGAGGAGGCTGTGGACCATGTTCATGAGATTGCAAATTTTCACCAAGGAATGAGATCACTTGTAGAGAAGACTGGGGAACTGTTTGAAAAACACTATGCGGTCCATGATGTTGCACTTAAGGTTAGCAAGGAGCTGTTGATCAAATGGACTGAGGGACTGTACCGGTCTGTGGTGGACTTTGAATCTTTGGCGTCTCAGTTAACAGCAGATCTCCAAGAAACCACAAGTGATCACCGCATCCATGTGTTCCACTGCAGTGTCGAGCCTGAGACACTTTCTGACGTCCCTAAGATTCCTACTGCTGAGGAAGCAGGTTACATGATTGAAGCTTTATTCAAGACTGAGCTCCTACCTGGTAATGTTGGCTATTTGAGGTTTGACATGATGGCAGATATAGAAGTTGTAAAAGCCATTGGGCCTCAGCTGATCCAGCTAGTCTGGAGCAAAATAATGAACACAAATGCTCTTATAATTGACATGAGGTACAACAGCGGTGGATATTCAACAGCAGTTCCTCTCTTGTGCTCCTATTTCTTTGATGCTAAACCCTTACGGCATCTTTACACAGTCTTTGACCGCACTACAAACACCATGACAGAGGTAATGACATTGCCCCAAGTAATGGGCCAGAGATATGGGCCCTCCAAGGAGGTCTACATTCTCACCAGTCACATGACAGGTTCAGCAGCTGAGTTGTTTACACACACTATGAAGGATCTAAAAAGGGCCACGATCATTGGAGAGTCAACCATCGGAGGATCTCTGTCAAGTGGAACTTACCAGATTAAAGAGAATGTTTTGTACGCCTCCATCCCTAACCAGGTTGTGTTTAGTGCAATCACTAAAAAAATGTGGAGCATTTCAGGAGTTGAGCCTCACGTCATTGTCCACGCAAATGAGGCTCTTTCTGCAGCACAGAGAATCATAGCAGCGAGGCTGCTGAGGAGAGACCAGGGGTAGTAATTGTAGTGTTGTGTTGTAGTTTCATATAGGATAATTAGGTCACCAAGGTAATGTTAAGTCCTTGTTTAATGTATGGTAACAATGTCCTCACAGTTAATAAACCAGACACGTGGTTCACTTACTACAGCTAATGTCCTTGAAACCGTTGTGCCCGGTAATCAAGAACCACTGATATGTTTCTTTGCTATTTCTCAACTGAGTATTTAGCTGGTACAGTCATCTAAACAGAATTGTACTGAATATGTAAGGATTAATTGTGTCATTACAGAAGGGAATTTTCAGCATAAGCTGTGGATCAACCCTTAAATCCACCGATTACCCCAGACAAACTTAAGAGGATGTAATGTCCGATAACACACTGGCATTAGGACAGCCTAATTATTGTGAGAACAGTGTGTAAGTATTGTGAGAAAAACAACCTGCAAGTACATCTGTGCTTTAATGAAATAACTTTCTAGTCTTTGTACTTTGATAATGGTCTTGTATAGTCTTACGTGTTTATCATATTAAGTTGTATTTCCCCCTTCCTTATAATAATTTTAGTTTTTCCTTTTATTTATTGTAGTTTAAAGTCACAGGTTATACAGAACTGTTCATGCATAATGATTTGATTTTGAATAAATATGTTGATGTGTTTCATTTAGTCGAATTATTTGTCTTATTTGTTGTTGTTGTTGTTGTTTTTTTTTTTTCTGAATTTCTTGATTCTTTGCTTGTTGGAATTTCTTTCAAATAGTATGTTGTAGTGTTGTTTTTCAGCTGTGGTGATCCTGAACTGCACAGCTTCCAGCAGAGGGCGCAAGTACCAAACAATCCTGAGGTAAACTTTTCTGCTCACTTCAACGCCTATCTCTGCTGAGGCGAACAATGCTTTTAAACATGTACCATTTGTGAAACAATGAAAGTGATCAGTTTTGTAGTATTTCTGATTTATTTTACCAACATTAACATAAATACCCCAACTATTAAAGACATTGATGGAAAACCAGCATCAGTTTAACGTTTTATGTGGAGTAATGAGGCAAACATAAGAAATGATGCATCTTAAATGTAACTACCAACACTGAAGAATGAAATAATTAAACTGAATTATACAAGGGTTAAATGTTTTCAACACTGATGACTAATTTCTATTCAGTGTGACGTTACGGAGCCTTCGTGACATGGGTAGCTTTTAATTAAGTGTTTAAATCTTTCTGTGTTCATTTCATTTCTTTGGCAAGACCTTCTTGTTCATGCATCCACTTGGCTGGATTATTATTGCCATACAGAGGCACTCATGGTAATAAGATTACAGGTTTATTGTGGGTTAAATCCTCTTAAGTGTGTGTTAACAGAATCCTTCTAGTCAAAACAGAGCCACTCGACAAAGAACCTCCTAGGAGAAGGAGGTTTGGCTCAACTGCCTCAACTTCCCATCTACTCACCTTTTTTTCCTGACTACACCTGCAAAAATGGCAAAGGCTGTCTTTCTTGTGGCATCTTTATTAGTTTTAGGAAATGTTTTCTTTAGCCAAGCTGCCTTCCCTCCTAATGTCATCGTTGATATGGCAAAAGTTGTCATGGACAATTACTGCTCACCAGAGAAGCTGGCGGGCATGAAGGAGGCAATTGAAGCAGCTGGCGGCAACACAGAGGTTCTCAACATCCCAGATGGGGAATCCTTGGCTCGTGTCCTCAGTGGTGGATTTCAGCTCACCATCAGTGACCCACGCTTGACGGTCTCCTATGAGCCAAACTATGTCCCTGCAGTTCCTCCTCAGATGCCTCCTTTGCCTCCCGAGCAGCTAATTGCCGTCCTACAGACCTCGATCAAGCTTGACATCCTGGAGGGGAATATCGGCTACTTGAGGATCGATAACATCCTTGGCGAAGAGGCTGCTGAAAAGGTTGGCCCCTTGCTTGTAGACCTGGTTTGGAATAAAATCTTGCCAACCACAGCTCTCATCTTTGACTTGCGCTACACTGGCAGTGGGGACATCTCAGGAATCCCCTACATTGTGTCTTACTTCACCGCAGCTGAGCCTCAGATTCATATTGAGAGTGTGTATGACCGTCCCTCAGACACCACCACAAAGCTGCTTTCTATGGGCACGCTGCTTGGGCAGAGATACAGCACCACCAAGCCACTCATCATTCTCACCAGCAAAAACACCAAGGGCATTGCAGAGGATGTTGCCTACTCTCTCCAGAGCCTGAAGAGGGCTACGGTCGTGGGTGAGAAGACTGCCGGGGGCTCTGTGAAAGTAGAAAAATTCAAAGTGAGTGACACTGACTTCTATGTAACCCTCCCAACTGCAAAGGCCATCAACCCTATCACCGGCTCCTCCTGGGAGGTTTCAGGTGTGACCCCTGATGTGGAAGTCAACGCTGAGGATGCCCTTGCAACAGCCATCAAAATTGTCAGCCTTCGTGCCAAAGTTCCAGCCATCATTGAGGGATCAGCTGCCTTGATCACTGACAACTACGCCTTTGAGAGTGTTGGGGCTGATGTGGCAGAAAAGTTGAAAGGACTCCTGGCAAATGGAGATTACAGCATGGTCGTCTCAAAGGCAAGTCTGGAGGCCAAGCTGTCCGCTGACCTGAAGACCCTGTCCGGAGACAAGAGCCTGAAGACGACTAGCAACATACCCGCCCTGCCCCCCATGGTGAGACCCTCAGTATCAGTTAAATGAGTGTGATGGGATGTGAACAAACAATGATACTGCAAACAAAGTTTTTTATTTAATTATTTACATTCAGAGTAGCAACTGGATTCAAATTCAGTCAGGTCAGCATTTTATAGCTAGAAGAAGTTTATAATATGCTTCAAACTAGCAGTAACGAGAATGGCTAATAACTATTAATCTATTTGTTTGACATAAAAAGAAGTTTTAATATTTGCTCTGATTGCAAAAATGATTGCATTAAAAATTCTAACTTGCCGCCTGCTCTCCCCCAGGATTACTCTCCAGAGATGTACATTGAGCTGATCAAAGTCTCCTTCCACACCGACATACTTGAGAACAACATCGGCTACTTGCGTTTTGACATGTTTGGTGACTTTGAGGAAGTCAAGGCCATTGCCCAGATTATTGTGGAGCATGTCTGGAACAAAGTCGTGAACTCCGATGCCATGATCATTGACCTCAGGTGGGTAATCCTGCTCATAGAGCAAGCTAATTTGAAATTCAGTGTCCGTTTCTGGAAAACAAATCATCTGCTAAAGCTGCTCAAGACCATCAAACCACATCTTTAAATAGAGGGCTTAGACTGTCTGACTTAGTCCGGATAAGTGAAGTGGTCTATTTAAGGATCTGTCTATTTTCACCTCAGTGCCTACATCACCTAAGTATCTTTCATTTCATCATTATTCTTTATCTGATTTTACAGGAACAATGTTGGTGGCCCAACAACCGCCATCTCAGGATTCTGCTCGTACTTCTTTGATGCTGACAAGCAGATTGTTCTGGATAAATTGTACGACAGACCATCCGGCACCACAACAGAGCTCCTGACCCTGTCCGAACTTACTGGTATTTATAAAGAAAAATCAATTTATTGTGTTTTGCTCATTTGTGTAGTTTAGCAAACTACTGCAAGAAGCAAAGAAAGCATTAAGTAGCTAAGAAGCCCAACATTTAAAGAGCTGGTCAAAGTCGAAAACAGAGCTAAAAGATATTTTTATTGGACAATGTTATAAGCTCATTAATACAATGACCTAAGGCATAAGAAAGCTGTCAGTTCAATATCTGAGCTGTGTTTGGTTTGCAAGAAATCCCTCAGCACTATTGTCTGATTTTAATCTCACTTCTGCACCTAAAACAAAAGAGGTCCAAAAACAAAAATACCTCTATATGTGCACACTTTCTGTTTTTCTGTTATGTCCCTAACCCTCGCTCTGTCTGACATTTATAACTCCGCTCTGCCTCCATCTTATCCTCTTCCTCAGGTGAAAGGTATGGCTCAAAGAAGAGCCTGATCATCCTGACCAGCAGCGCGACTGCTGGTGCTGCAGAGGAGTTTGTTTACATCATGAAGAAGCTCGGCCGTGCAATGATTGTAGGAGAGACCACTTCTGGAGGTTCCCACCCACCCCAGATCTTCAGTGTTGGTGATACTGGCCTCTTCCTCAGCATCCCCACTATCCACTCTGACACTTCCACTGGGCCAGCCTGGGAGGGAGTCGGAATCACACCTCACATACCTGTGGCAGCTGATGCTGCTCTCGGCACAGCTAAGGGCATCTTTAATAAGCACCTTGCAGGCCAGAAGTAAAACAACCTGAATGAAGTCAGGGCATTTTTAAACACTTTTGCTCTGGTAGCCAAATGGTTACAAGATTTAGAGTCTAGAAAAGTTCACGGAGAAAGGAATGTAGATTAAGCTTAAGGTACAAAGTTTAATCTGTCATCCATCATCTCAAAACCTTTTAAGCCTGCTTATAATGTAGAGCAAAGGTTCAACAGGATTTACTTAATGTTTAAAATGCTGTTGAATCTGACACAAAAGTAAAAGGTTCTGAGAATGACTAGCACTGAGGGGCTAACCCTTCAAGGAAGTTTGTTGCAAAGATCAAGAATTCAACTTTTGAGATGTCACAAATTAATTATGTTAGATCATTTGATCTGGACCTCTGTGTATTAACCTGTTTGTTGGCACTTGTCAGAAAACCATCACAAAATGATAATGTGGGGACAATGCTGTGTTAAACCGGGATTGTTTTAAATTCAGAGCTGAGACACAATAAAAAGAGACAAATTCATTAAAAATAAGTGTGTTTTTCTCATCTATATTTTCCTCCATGATATATTAACATTATAATTTAGAATCAAACTAGACTGTTCAAATACTACAGGTTGACCATCATACCATTAAAAACCACCTGGGATCTCCTACAGCTAAATTGCTGCAAAATTTGTCACAAACCCTGCCTCACTTGTGTTAACAGAGGTCAGAATGGCGGTCAAACTAGACGGTGAAATTAAATATCAAATAAATTTATTAATTTATTCACTTAAACATAGTTACTGTCATTATAGCTGATAACTTCATGCTGATTTCTGTCCACATGTTCATTTTTCTGCGATACTTAGTTTTAATTATTATGAGTCATTTTTAAGAAATATCTTTAGAAATAAACATTAACACTAACTTGTGCCGACTCTGGCTTTTTCTCTCACTGTGCTTAAAAGAACGATCAGACTTACAAAAGCTCCACTGCTGCTCTGGAAGTCCATCCAACAGTGCCAAAATAATGCAGTTCCTTGTGTATCCACTTGAGGCAGCCAAATCTCCATTATCACTAGTGTTGAAATGCCCAGCATACACCAGAAATAAAGTCTATATTGCTCTTCTCTTTTTCTACACTGTATAGGAAATTTTTACATGTAATTCGTCAGTTTTTGGTCTTTTTTTGTACAGACTATGGTTAAAATGTGCTGCACTCAAGTATCAACAGTTTGTTAATTGTTCTGATTGATACTGAAAAGCTATATCTATCAGCTTTTGTGTTTTCTTTGAACTTATCTAGCCTACCAGTGGACAAAGCAGTAACTGCATAGACCATGAATGAATCGAACTGTTGTGGACACCAGTACTTCTCAAAGTTAAGATTATTTGCACCTAATTCTTGCATCAGTTTCAACATTTTTTCTCTTTCAGTATAATCTCAGTGTGTTAATTTACACAACACAAGAGTGTGTTTGTTATTTCCCATAAATGTGCAACCAGTATACAGGCCATCTGCCACACTCTCCTTACATTCTGGCGCTAATGATGCCATAATTACACAGGATGGCGCTGCTCATGTCTCTGTAGCCCAGTGAACTTGTGAAAACAGTACAGGCAAGTTTAATCAAACTTTTGGTTTAAACTTTTTTGTTAAATACTGAAACCATAAAAGACTACACGATTAAACTGTGACAGTTTTCACATGTCACTTTTATCCCCCACCCTGTCTTGCGTCTATTCTCCGAGAATTGCGCCAGTCTTCCACGTGAGGGAGGCGCAAAACGGCATCTTGACCCATTTTCTCTCTTTCTCTCTCCTCCTCATTTTGAAATATGAAACCTGGTCCATTTCAGCCAACTTTGTCCCCCGGGCTCCCAGTTCCTCCAGCACCGCTGCTCTGCAGTGTACCAACTTCATTTGGCTTTTTTTAGACCCCATTTGCATTATTTGATCAACTTTTCCTTTGGATTTGTATCTGCAAAGTATTTTGAAAACTTTTTCTTCCCAGAAACTTGCACGTGGATTTAAAAAATATCCGCTATTTGTATTTCTCCTGTCAAACCCATCGAGAGAAAACAGTCCTTTTTGACCGGGATGCTGGTGGTCATGATTGTAAACTGAGCTCTCGATAACAGGGACGTGAACGCATCGCCTGCATCCTCTCCTTTGTCTTAGCAGCATCGTTGCCTCGTTGAGTAACTGTCACTGGGATGTAAGAAGACACTAGAGCTGTTTTTGAGCGTTTTTATTTTTTTCCACACAAAGGAATTATTACTTTTTCCACCCCCAAGGAACAATAATGACGAGTTTCTTGTTAAAAATGCGTGTTGTCCTTGTTTTATTCGGATTAGTTTTGCTTTCTTCTCCATCCACAAGAGCCGAGCCGGAGATGCAGGACGAAGAAGAAGAGGAAAGTTCCTGTCAGGGAGCTTTTGACCTCTATTTTGTGCTTGATAAGTAAGTAAAACAGCTCTAAATGGCTACTTACAAGCAAAGACGTGATTTAACAAAACAAAACAAAAAACAAAAAAAAGTAAGGATGCTTGCTTGCAACAGCTTGCCAACTGAATGAAGTTAGCTAAACTCCTATATAACCTAAAATCTGCATTTACGTAATCTAATTAGAATTATTGCAGGTTATTTGCCTGGTTTGTGTCATGAGACACAAAAGGTAAAATTGCTAGTTAGCAACAGCTTGCCAACTGAATAAGGTTAGCCAAACTCTTTAATAAGCTAAAATCTGAATTTACTTATACTAGTAATAGTTATTGCAGGTTATTTGCCCTGTTTGTGTTATGATATTATTAAGAACAAACTATGCACTCAAATTATTAAACATGAAGTGAATGAAAATAAAATTAACACCTTACAATAAAGGAGCGTGAATAGCAAAAATATATGTCTACTTATTAACCTTTTAGATTGTAGAATTTCTAATTAGCAGCGCAGCATCTGTGTTTGCGCGTGCGCGTGTGATGACGCTTGCCGGAGTCAGCATTGCAGAGTACAGTTTGCTGAATAAGCAGAAAGAGGGCAGACTATTAGGATGTTACCATCATGTTATATCTTTCTCTTTCTCTCTGACAGCCAGGTAAACCGTGGCCCCATTCGAAATGCTTTAAATATTTAGTAACAAACATACAAAGAATACTATAAAATCTCCATGAGCTTTTCTTGCCCTTTCTGTCATCCTAAAAGTTTTTTTTGTCTTCGCTCAGTGGCTGATCACCGTTCCCTCTTTCATTTCCACTCTCCTTACGCCCACATAGGAAAAATGTTGTGGTTGTGTGACATCTTAGTGCTGGACTTAAGCCGGGAAGAAAAAAAACAAGAAAAGTAGGAGAAACTTTCAGCTCGGTTTCTCTCAGTGTCATTACTATGTAGTAACTTATATTTTAACACAATGCAGGGATCGCCATCTGTGCCATATTGTGGCTTAGATGACACTTAAGGAGCACTGTAGCAAAATGTTATTTTAATTGTGGAGCCAAAGGGGAAAAAGAGCAAAATTAGGATGCTCATTTTGCAAAACAATGCTCAACTTTTCTGTCTGCAGAGTTTATCTGAAGTTGGATGTAAACCATGTTGCTGTTTCAGCTCTTATCCTTCATCTTGCACTGATGGAGCAATGCCAGGAATGGGGAGGGGAAACAAGAAAGGACAGGAAGCAGCAACATTTATGGAAAATGTGGTCTTAATTTGGCGAACAAGATGTTGCACGCAGCACCTTTAAAGGCCTGTTGTTACAGTTTGTCTTTGTGATTTTAAGATACAGGAATCAGAAGTGTCATGCAGATTTGTGTCACCAGTGACTCTTAAAAACCTCATACTGGTTGGGCTGCTTTAATCAGTGACCTTACATGAACAATACTGAAGGCTCCGATTGACAGGCATTGCTCGGTGTCTGTGTTCTTGGTGTAAACACCGGACTAAACAGCAGCTCTAACATTTCCTCTGACTCCCAAGCACAAGTGAACACAAAGCATGATGTGGACGGCTGTATTCGGCTTGTGCTATGTGGTAAACACTGACACATGTTGTGAATTAGGCCACAAAATGTGTTTTTCAGTGTCAGCTGCTATTGTTAGGTTGTCTGCGTGCTTCGGTGCCCACTCTCAGGGTGACTAACAAGGTTTAGCCGTTGGTTGGGGACTTCAAACAAGGAGAACCTCATTAGGGTCCAGTCTCATCCAACCCTCAACCCCATCCCTCAGGCCAGAGAGGGTTTTATGAGACACATTCTTTACTCTGAGCCTTGGTTGATCCATATGGGAGGTGTAAAGAGTGTGAGAAAGAGTGCACCAAAACACAGAAGATACTGACCCTGTAGAGTGACAAAAAATGCTCAAAAGGACTACAAAGCTGAGGGGTTTTAATCTCTCCTTCATAGACAATGTCACCTAACCAATGCATATTACATCAGGGAATCTGGTACATAAAGACCAAATCAAGTGCCGAATTTAGTGTCACATGCAACAAACAGTTGTGTTTTAAAAGTAAAGCAACAAAAAGAGAAAAATCCAAAAGGCAAAATCCACAAAGATCACTGGGGCAAAATCACATGAGCAACTAGGGCATACGCACACACCGACAAACAATGAACCAACAAAGACAAAGGGAAGACAGGGGCTATATACACACAGGGAAACAAGCAACAGGTGAGGCAGACGAGACACAGGTGAAACTCGTGAGTGATTAACAAAGGAGGGAAAACTACGGAAGTAAAACCAGACTAGAAACACAAGGAATCAACTACTACAAAGTAAAACAAGAAAAACTAAAAACTGATCTAAAGAATAAAACACTGACAACATGAGGGAAACAGGGTCAAACACAAACTGAAAACTCACAGGACATGATCACAGGAACAATAGGGAACAGAAACATGAGGGAAAACACAGAAAATATATTCAAATAAAAAAACAGTGAAAAACTAAATCAACAGAACATATCATGACAGATGTACTGAAACTGAAAGAAAAAGGAGCATAGTTAAGATTATGGCTTATGTACTACCCTACCTCAGCAAGTTTTGAAGTTTTGTACACTAGACGTGTTTAAGAATGATTATGCAGGGAGTAATATTAGTGCTGAGTGTTATTATACCCCTGCTGACATAGCTTAAAGAGAATACTTAAGCTTTAATTAAATCAGAGATGAATAGTAAGCCTACAGAGCTAAAGCTACTGTCACATCCACTGCAACTTTAATAACCACAAAAGCCATTGTATAGTCAACAGAAGTATTATTTAGAAGTCCTACATGTCTTATTCATAACATAAATGACTGGGGTTACTGAGGACACTCTAAGTAAGATACTGTTGTAACAACCATTCAGAGGGAATATGCTGGAGAAGCCACAGTCATTGATAAACCAAAGCTCAAAAGCCAGTATTTTAACTAAAACTGCAGATAAAACTTGATTAGTAATCATCCATTCAGCTCTTTTATGATATCATAGAGAGTATACCTCTGTAGTTTGGAGATATCATAACAGTTAGCTAATGATATTAGCTGTTTGTTACCTCAACATTTTTACTGCTCTGATTGACTTCACTTACGAGCTCATGAACACATCATGAATGGTAGAACTCGGAGTGCTCAGCAGATTTGATGTTTATAACCTTTTCTCTCTTAATTGAGCATATTAGGATTATCTTGGCTGTGTCATAATTAGCAATTACAGCCAATGAACAGATGATTGGAATGTCATTTGTATTTTATGAGGCGTTTTGGTCTGGACCAGAGTGGTAGTTGACCCACCAGCTAATATTTCCATCCCCTTGAGTCACACTAGCACGAGAAAGCCAAAAACACTGGCATATTTAAGAGACTATAAATCAGTGTTTAGCTGGAAAGAAACTATAAACATATTTTGGACTTACTGGGATTGGTCTAGTTTATAAAGAAGGAGAAACATTTTAGCCATTAGGAGTCGCACGTTTCAAAGTGATGAAGAGAAAAGGTCTGATGTCACGTTATGGCTCCAACATGTAGGACAGAGAGGGAGAAATGGGTGGCTCCACCCTGTAGTGTGTCAAGAAAGGCTAATGACTGAATGGTTGCCAGTATAAATCTGGGACATCTGGGACTGGGTTTGGAAAATATGGCTTGAAATGAGCCACACTATCCTCAATGCCCTGCAGACCTACATGTGATCACCTAGAAGAAAGTAGGGCTGTTAGGATATACACTTTGTGTGAGAAAGAAAACTGCAAGATAACATCCAGTGACAGAGCTGAAAGGTTAAACAAATGAAATGACACTGAACAATTAAGATGTTTGTAATTTGGTGACTGCACCAGCGTCAAGTAACTGGAAAAACAATGTTAATATGACTTTATCACAAAGTGTCTCCAAATAAAACTGAGACAAAGGAAAGTGTTCATTAAATAAAAAGATTAACTGATTTCTTTATAAATATAACCTGCAATGCAGAAGCTAGTTGACAGCTCTAAAAATACACTGGGGTAAAGTGAGGTTGTACTTAAAATCTGAACTGAACCATACTAACATTATAGTATTAGCATGCTAATGTCAAGCCAGGGAAATGTCCTGATTGTGGAACACACATCAAACAGATTTATACGATTTAAGCAATAGTAATCCACTGAACTTATTTTTCATGAGTATAGCAATCAAAATCATAAGCTGCAACCCTGTTTCCTTGGAAGACATCTAAAGAATATACCAATACTCAGAAAAAATCATTAACATCCTTTAAGTTTCAAATCATTTCTTCCCATTGTGAGATGTGAAGCCAAATACTGCCTCATGGGTGCTGACAGATTCCACTGGTTGAGCCAAAGCATGTGCAGAAGCAATCTGGCTGGTGGAGCTGCTGGACTGACGTCATACCCCTTAGGCTCTGCTGACCAAAACACACATTGAAGTTAACAGATAAAAAGTAGGAGATCCCTTTACAGTCCAAAGAGACAGATTTTTGCATTGATTCGAAGCAGACGCTCGTGGCTATGCCAAGTTCAATGACTCCTGTTGCATTCTAATCCACCACAGAACGCTGCAGGAGTCTGCATTTGTCAACAGAGCTGTCAATCAATCATCTTTGTAATATCACGTAATGAATGAAAACCTAATTTGTTAGAAAAATGAACAAATAGACATACATCAGCAGAATAATAGCTAAATGTTATGATAGAAAGCATGTTTGAGGTAAAGTTATTTGACATGTATTTTGATTTTTAAGTGTGACCCATGTTTCATCTGTCACAATGGAGAAGGCGGGCTTTATCGTCTGTACTGCAGCCAATCACCAGAAGCAGCTCTTAATATGTACGCTCCATTTAGAATTGCATGTGGTTTAATGCAACAGTAATACTCATTCCTTTCTCACACTTAATGTTATTTAGTTGCTAGAAGTATTTGGAGTAAAACCATCCGCCAATTAGATTTGAGATCATAGCATATATTGATATCTTCTTATAATGAAAACTGCTGTTGTGGAGTCAGCGTATTAACATTTACATAAGCACTGAACATAAGAAACTTCATTGTGCTTCAGAAATAAAAAGCTGTGCTGTAGAGCAAGTCGGAGGGCTATAACAACTATTAAAATTCATCGAGTTGGTAACATAAGTTGCTCTGACATTTGGTCTAAACCAGAGTGTGGTTGACCAACCAACCCACTGAGAGAGAGATCAACTCTTCACTCTTCACCAGAGCCACACAGCTAGATTGGCTAAAAATATCCAGCTGACAGCCACCAGCTGCATAATTCAGAACTTGCGGGCATCTAGGTTTTAATAAGATTGTCTTGTTGGTGAATTTGGATGTTCGTTCGAGTTATACTTTGAAGCCCCCATACTGCTACATATGTTCACACAAGGATGTATTTCTGCTGATTCAGAGCAGGCGGGTCTCGGTGTGCTGTTTTATATGGAGGACAGCGCTGGAGGAAAGGCTTTGGGTGTGTTCATAAGGCAGAAAGGAATTCACCTACTGTATAAACTGAATGCTAATGTTAACTCTTTCTGAAGGCTTGGAACAGATGATCGTGCTGACTGAAGATAAAACGGGGAACATGGTTATAGGATGAATTTAATTATGACCCAATGAACCCAAAAAAGTGAAGCAAGCCGAGTCGTCGATGTAGCATTTCAAGCACTTAGCATGCACACAGTATGTAGCCTTTAAAGTAGTCTCAGCGTCGGTGTTAAAGTCTGTGTGCTTCTCTGGGAACTGTGTTTTTTTCCACTGGCTGTTTCCTTTCATACCTCTGTCTTGTTTCCATCAGACTCACACTGCCCCCTCTATCCAGGGATTTCTCCACATTGTGTTCTGTTAGTTGTGCATCCTTGTTCGGAGATTGTCGCCACTCCTCAGTGTTTTCTTTAATAATCACATCTCTCATATAGCGCTGATTTCTGTCTTTTATTTACACTTCAGATCTGTAATCATCGTTGCAAACATTTTTTTGGTTACTGTTGATGAAGTCAGAAGTTGGCACACCGGTTGGGCGTTGGGTGATGTAGCCTGATTCCTGGCAAGTCAGTGGAAATCTGAACTGCAGCTGCAGTCCATAAATATTTGGGATCTGCTGGCTTGGGAATACGTTGTAGCTGTGGAATGACACTTGCTTTGTGTCTTGTCATTCAGTCTTTTGGAGCGTGCTGCTTTGCTGTTTTTAACAGGAAGAAATGTCTTGTTAAATGATATCATGCTGTCTTCAGGTCCTCGGGGACAAAAACAAGACTAGAGGTTTGAAAGTGGATGAATGCTGCTCCAGCTTTAACTCAAACCGTCTGGCTATAATTCACACATGACTCTAAGTCTGAAAATGAAAAATCACATATCTCTTTAACCAACATCTCAAATGCCTCTCCACCAGATATTCAAAAGCGTTCTCAAAAAATTCCTCCCGGTTTGGAGTAGACATGCAGCATTAGCTCAGCAGTCACCCTGTAAAGATTCTGACTTCTGCAAAGGCTGTAAAAGTAGGTTAGTGGTTTTAAACAAACAGATCCTTGTGCCCAGTCAGTTAAATTGGAGCACCATCATTGGCTGCAGACTGGGGTGGTGTGGGTAGCTCCAGCTGGAAATGCAGACAGCCTCTTTAGCAGAACCGGGATTCTTTTTTTTTTTTTCCTTTAGTTTTTCTTTCTCGACTCTTTGAACCGTGAGAACGAAGCTGAGAGCCACTAAGCCCTTCACACTGATGGAGCTTTTTCCCACATGCCGTCATACCATCGCCCTCCAGGACAGAAGTGATTGTTGGGTAGTTCGGAGTCAACTTGTGAGAGAAACGGCTAAAATAAAAACAGTTGTCTCAGAGGACATTATGAACAGGCGTAACATCAAACAGATATGCTTCAGCTGTAATATCCTTTTCTAAAGTTACCGGATTACAGGCATCGACACTAAAATAGCGACCTAGGGAGTTTTTTTTTTCTTTTTTCTGCTGAAGAATAAAAAATTGTATACTTATAGCTTTTTTTTCATCTTTTTCTATGTTTATAAATGTCTTTTATCCCTCATTAGCTTACTGTTTAATTAGGAGAAAAGTAAATGAGTTCAGAATAAATATTTAGTTTTTATACGTGATGCATCATTGAATTATTGTCAGAGTGTCTTTGAGGTTAAATCTCTACAGGGAGGGCTATCAAAGGGTGTCTGCCCTCTCTTTGTCGGCATGTGGAGAGGATCAAACTGTGAAGACTGGGCGGCGATGGGGAGATTGCTGATGACATCGTCTATAGCTGGGGAAAGTGATGACGCTGCAAAGACTAGGCAGTGATAACAAGGTGGAAAGTTGCACAAAATGCATGCATGTGGGAACAAGGGAGGAGAGAGCTTAATAAAAAAGACTAATAATAAGGGTGTGTTGCTGTGCTGTTAGATATGACCTGGTGATGAGAATAGCTAATGAGTGCAGGAACATGTGCGAGTGGAACAGTGAATGAATGAAAAATGAAATAGCATGCAGAATAGAGTCTGCAGGCAATACAACCAAACCAAGATGTTTACACTCTCCAAGGAGTGTCAGTATTTTGAAATGGTCAGCATTACTGTAAATTACACAAAATACTCCCAAGTATAAACACACTCTGATAGTCCCGGACACACACTCCAGCACACACGTACACATACACTTGACGCACACATTGACTCATTTGCAGATCTAGTCATTCCAGATCTAACCAAGTCAGAAAATAAAGTCATCGCTGAAGAAGATTGAAGATGTTTTTGTTCTTGGATAACCTTTATCTCCTCCCTTTTTTGTATCACTGAACAGTAATGAGTGTGTATCACTAACTGTTGTGCACACGTCAGCTTGGAAACAACAAAGTATGTCTCTTAATGTTTGACGCAGTGATGAAGCAACAAAAGAAATCAAAGGGTACATGTTTAAGGCACATACAGATTTAGAAGCAAAAGCAACCATTTATATCAACAGCAGTTTGATTGATGGTTAACAAATGTCTGTCTTCAGGTATATTTAGAAGTTATCTGTGTCTTTACCAAAGACATGATCGAAAAAGGGACAGAAAAAAATATCATGGTTCTTGATACCTCAGGGAGAACTGGCACTAGAGGTGTCCCAATATGATATTAATATTGGATATCAGTCCGATATCACCAAAGAAACGAATATCGGATTATATCTGCCTGCATCTAAAATCTCCGATATCAGCACAATACCGGTATCGTATCGGAAGTCAAAAAGTTGTATCTGGACACCCCTAACTGGCACATCAGCTCCTCATATGTTACCATAACAAGTATCTGTCAGCTTTTTAGTCTTGCTCTAAAGAGTTCAAAGAGTTCAGGATACTCTTACCTATACAATAACTCAAGAGTATTCCTCATTTATTTCCTGTAATTTGTGTTTCCGTACCTGTTTTTTGCCACCATCATGACAGTGGATATGTCAGGGACACAGTAATTCAATCATGTACCACCAGCTTTGGTTGTTGGTGATTCTGGCTGTTTTTCATCAGCTGTGTTGGCTGAAACTCAGATTTGGGTTGGAGGAGAAAAACTTGGCCTCACACTCAAAGTCGTCATTGAACCATTCTTGGCATGTTTCCTCTGGAGGACACGTTGGCGCTGGAGCCAACAGATTTTTAACTTTATCTAACTCCAAGTCAGCAGAGTTTCATAAAATCTTGTCGATATGGCTTTTTTTAAATCTTTGTCAGGCTCTTTTCTTTTCTCTCTTGTACTTTCTGCCCTCAAATGGCCTTTTTCCAGACACATGCTGCACACTTTGCTCAAAATTATCTGATAGAGAAAACCCCGGTCCTTGGTTTTGATCATTTGCTGTGACATTACATAACTTTAACCTGCTGTTGGGCTGGATCACTTTGTCTGCAAATTTGACGCCTCTCACCCCTCAGAAACCTGTACTTTTAAGTCCAAACCCCAAACCACTTAACTTCAGAGATGAACTTAGATCATTAAAATTAGATCAAAAGATTTACAGGAGGTTAAGGCACCGCATTAAATAGCCTCACCAAGAATCATAGAAAGAAATCGACCACTTCCTCTCCCAACACTGTTTAGACAGGTGAGTGAAACTGCAAGCTAGGCCTGGATCCCACGACTGCAGCTACCTCAGACAACCAAACCGCTCCAAGGCAAACAAGAGCCATTGTGGTTGAGGAATAAAGATAAGCAGCTTAAAACCAAAAGTGGGAGTCCTCAGATTCACCCTGATGTTAAATAAATACTCAAGACTGATCTCAACACCCCTGCTGGGGCTGATGGAAAGTTTAGACAGACTTATATTAATTTTTCCCCTACTTTGTTGCTGTAATGGAACAATTTACACAAAGAAATTGGCTCCTGCTGCTCCCTCAGGTCAGAAGCTGTCTGTGTATGTGACTATTTCTGTTTGCGCTGCACATTTTACTGAACATCCAAGCTAAACATTTCTCCTCCTCCTCCCCCAGCCCAGGCTTTTCATAATTTGGGAAACTTCAGCATCCATTGAAAGGTCTTGTCCTCTTTTGTTGCACAGCCAGTTCGAAAATGTGTAGCCGTGATGTTGAAGAAGAAGCCGCGTCAACAGATTACAGAGACGCTTTGGGGTTGGGGTGTTAAGTTGCCCCTGTTTGCATCTGTTCAGAACAAAAGGAAAAATAGCATTAAAGCTAACATTATATAAGTATGTATTTAAGGTGGAGGTCTGGATTTTACCAACATGGGTGGTCAAGGGTGCTCAAACCTGAGCCTGCAGCGTTGGCAGTGATGCACTGCTCCACTCTTTCTGCAGAACCCAGTTTTCTACTTCCTCTGGAGCAATCAATCTGTTTGTTTTCCTTGGATCTGAGTCATTTCTGTTGGGTCTGCTACTGTTTTTGGTCCTGATTCCTCTAAAATGCTGTCGACTGCACCAAGTTTGTTCGGGGTATTTAAGGCCAAACGTCTTGCATCTGCAGAAGTATGTCCTTGTTTATTCTGTGCGACAACAGAAGCTGTTCTTGTGGCCAACCTTAAAGTGAAAAATTCATGTTTGGAAGAATACATAAAGACAGCATGTAAGTTACAATGTTCAGCCTGTCAAACAGAGCAGATAGATTACTGTTCTGCAGTACAAAGAGTTGAAAGTGTGTGATGCATGATGGGAAAGTCCCTGGTTGACCCTGGCAATATTTCCCCCTTAGTTTGGAGAAATTATCCCTCTGCTGCCAGGCAATAAGACAAAAACACAGTGGGGTACAACCTTGAGTCAGCCTCAGCCCAGCAACATTAGTCACAGTCCACTTCTATTGCAAGTTTTGGGTCTGAAGAAAACTTTTGTTTTTCAAAGCAAGTCCCAGGACGTGTGTTTTTGCTTTGTCCTTGTATCATGAGGTCTCCAAATTATTGAAACACACTGTAGAGAAAATTAACTTTTTTTCCTCTTATCTCATTTACTGAACAAATGTTTTGATCAGGTCAAAGAAGCAGGAAAATCCTGTGAAACTGTTCTTTCTGTTTATTATGTCTAGATGAGACTCAAACAGATTTGTGAGGGAACTAGAAACTATTACAAACAAAAGGTAAGCTAAGATAACAGAGTCTGTGTTTAGTCTGGTCCACGTCGACTCCCATACAGCCAGTTTCAAACTGTTGAGTTAAGTTTTACTTCAAAGATTTTAGTATCATGTCATTTATTTAATCAAATGACCATCAGACGAAAGTATTTAGCGGTGTCTGAAATGCTGCACCAAGCGTTGTACAACCATGTATGTGTGCATACATATCTCACAAAACAATCTCATTAAATTCAACACAGCAAGCCCTTTCTATACACTTTGTAAAAACATTTACAAGAACCCAATTTGATCCACTTTGTGTAAGCACAGTGGTAAGGGAAGAACTGTATTTTCACAAACTGAAAGCTGAAGCTGAAGCAAACTTGGTGGTGGTAAGCTGTCTCAGGTGACTGTGTGAAGAGACAACAACAGAAAAAGAAGCTAGATTAATCAACTCAATCTCAGTGTGAACATATGTCCCATCTAAGCACCAAAGCTAGTCATGGAGTTCCTCAAGGTTTGTTTCTTGGACTGGACTGATTGGACACACGGTCCCTGTACTCTTATAAAATATGGTCTTATTTACCAGCTTTTACTGAATGGATGCACAACGTCAGAGAAAAATACTTTGGATGTGGCTGGTGGTGAGTTTTACAACCTGGAAACTTAAATTGAAAACTGTCTTTTAGGTTAGTCATGTTACCACTTTGTAGTTATATTCGTCCACTCTGTCAGTTTGGCCTCAAAGCTCTGTATTTTTTTTTCTCTTACATGCTGCACTGTCGTATCATGTATATGTGCTAAATTGAAGGGTATTCTATCATGTATTTCCAGCATCTTGAGCTCAATATCTTTCTTAATCCCTTTCAAAGCACTTCACATAATGAAATCCGTGTAATTCCAGTGGATAAAAACTGGTTTTGACCTTCTGCCCCACAAACAGAAACATCACATCACTCTAGCTGGCCAGTGCTCTCGTGTTAAACGTTACGTCAGTTAGTCTGCACCTAAAACAACAGTCAGTCAACTTTGCACCTTTTATTCTTAACAAGCTGAGACCTCTAAGGCCTCTGATTTAACCACAGTCAATTAGTTAATTTCCCATGTGTCATCTCTGTGGCCTACTTGTTAGCTAATTATTGACCTGCTGGCTGGTCTCATCATGCCGGAAGCTTTCATCCCTCTTAATAAAATTAACACAAACACATGCGCACATACACACAGTCTGCCTAAAGGAAATGAAGGGAGCTCCATAGGGAGAGCGTCCAGTTTTATGGATGTCCCCTTGGGAGATCAGGACCTCTTTCCTTAGCCTCCAGGGTCTCATTTAGAAAACAGGAGGGTGCTAAATAACACACCACACGTGTGAGTATCTTGAACCCAGTCTCAGTATTAGTAGGCCAGAAGTAGCCGCAGTCTGTGTGATACCAGCCAGAGAGGCTAGTCCGAAAGCTAAATAGCATGTTAGCTGTTGATAAAAAGATATCTTCTATTTTCACCGTTGAGTGAATAATGGAGGATTATACCTTTCGTTACAAATGCAATGAATGATTATAAAGTTATAGTAACAGGATAAATAGTTGTGTTTGGCCAAGAACAGCTTGTTCTCCATGTTGTGGAGCTGATGATTTTACCCCCTGTTGTATTTGGCTAACAAAGCTGCACTTTTCTTGTGTGACTGCTCTACCATATGTAAAGTTTGAATCCAACCAAAGCTTGGGTCTTGGTATTAAGTGTTTGCTGAAAAAATCATTAACTCACTCAAATTTTATTCTACGGTCGATATATTACCTTTTAATTGTGCAAGCAATGCCAATTTTTTATGCTAGCAGTGTCATGAAAAGTGCTGGGCTACTGAGGGAAACTTGCTGCATTCACAGTTTCGTGGAAAACCTTTTAGTCACTGCACTGGCATTGATGCATGTTGTGGGTTGGAAGTTTAATAACCTTATATGAACTACTTCAGTCTTACCTTAATGCTGTGTATTTTAATTCTTCTCTTTTCCTTGTCTTTAGGTCTGGCAGTGTGAAGAATCACTGGGAGGAAATCTACTACTTTGTGGAGAATTTAGCAGAGAAATTTAAAAGGTAAGAGGCGAATTGAAAAAGCATGCTGACTAACCAATCAGATTTGTTGCAAAAAGGAAAGAGGGAGCTCAAAGAGTGAGCTCAGTACTGTAACATTTACACACCAAAAAAGCCTTGTGTCTTTTTATACTAAACTTCCTGCAGTTCCCGGGTTGTAGATCACTAAAGAGAAACACACACTTTACACAGCAGTCACCCCGGTAAAGTAAAAGAAAATATTTCCCTGCAGCTACAGCCATATGCTAATTCATTCAGCACCCAGGCTGAAGTCTCCCTCTGTCCCTGCAGTGGTTGAACTGATGTCTGGAAGCCGTGTGGTTACAGGCAATGACTACAGGCTTGTGTCTTTCTTCATATGAGCAGCCTGAATTAAGATTAATTCAGTGAGTAGAGGAAAAGTCAATTTCACTGTATAAAAAGTTTAATATTTGACTTGATATAGCCATATCAGATGTGTATTCTGTGTGTAGAATTCTTAATGCAATGTGCATGTTAATCACTTTAATCATTCACCTATATAACGTACTAGTTTCAGCACAATTAATGTGTTCTCTAAAATCTGCCTACTGTTTCTGGATCACACCAATATACAGTTTCCCCTGTGCATGGTATCATTTTCTGCTTCATTTGTTCCCATGGTGACTAAATGCATGCTTAGACAAAAGTTGTTTTTTGAAGCAATGTTAAGCTCATGCAGTGATTTCGACTTAAGAGCCATTTGTGTTTTACATGCAGTACTTGCAGATGTACAGTATTGTTTTTCAGCTTTGTCTCTTTCACACAGAGATTTACTCCAAGTCTCTGATTCCTTTCATGATTTTAAGTACTACAGATGATGCAATTCCCCAATTCTTTGCAATTTGACCATTAATTGTTAAACTATTTTCTCACACAGTCTCTCACAGAGTGGTGAACCTCTTCCTGCCTTTACTTCAAAGAGACGCAGCCTCTCTGGGCTGCCTTTTTTCTTCCCAGTCATTTTACAAACCTTTTTGTAACCCTAACCCAAACATGTCATGTAAAAATGATTCAGAAACCATCAAATTCTGTTTATATTGACATTGTGTATCTGAACCTTCTCTGCAGATGTGGTTGTATAATGCAACATTAGAGAAGTAAGATTGTACTAAATTCAGAATTGTGTTTTTGCACTTGGGTGGTTTTGTTTTGTCCGTACAGCTTGAAAGCCACAACAACACCTGGAGCTTTGTGGTTTCTCCATAACAAAGAATCAACACATATTCTTCATACTTTCAGTTTTAAACAAACATGAGAACGTCTTTAGCAGCACAAATCTGCACTTATTTACTTCTCTCAAAAACCATTCAACACATTATTTTCAGACAGCTGTGTGTTTACTTGCATTTTTATTCCCTTCTAAGTATGATTGTCCATGTCCAAACAAAGATAACAAAGTTTTCCGCTTTTATAGATTGTTGACACAGCTCCAGTTTCAACTTTTAGGTCATTGTCACGCAAACTGAGCCAAAACCCCACGCCTTAGCACAAACTCTAACATGTTTTTCACTGCTGTGTTACCTTGTTTGACTGCACACAGAAAGAAAATTCCCCCACAGGCTGTTGGATTGAACTGAAATAATGTGAAATAGTTCATCCATAAGTATTCTATTCTTGGAAATTCTGGCATGAGACTAAAGCTAACAATGGGGACTGCCAACTGATTCATGTTTATGCGGCAAACAACATGTTTCAGAACAGCTCAAACAAAGTATTGACATGATATATCTGATCAATGTCAGCCAATATGGAAATGTTTGATGTATATGTTGTGAATTAACATTTGGCAGGATATTGTTAGTACTGGGTCCATCTTTAGGGATTTTATTGCTGCACACTATTAAAACCAAACCCTCAAACATGTGGTCTGCAGAGTGACAATGCTGCTTTTATCTTGTTCTTCCAGTCCTATGCTGAGGATGTCCTTCATAACGTTCTCCTCCAGAGCATCCACCATCATGAAACTGACAGAAAACAGGTAAAAACATTCAGACTAATGGGAAAGCAGATGTTCTTGCTGTTGATGCGACCACCTCTTATTTGATCAAAATGCTGTGTTTTTAGTGAGTTTTCTGAATAAAAAATGAAATCTCTACCTGCCGTCATCCCCGGATGTGGGTTTTCATTTACCACAGATAACTGCAAATCATCTAAACATAGTAGTAAAGGAGAAAAACAAAATAATGCAAATAATTAGGAAAGGGGGAGATGGACTGCGCTGTGAAACCAACTCTGCTGTCTTTCCTCTCTGCAGGGTGAATATCAGAAAAGGGCTGAACGCTCTGAAAAGAGAGATCCCTGGTGGAGACACATTTATGCACCTTGGACTGCACAAAGTGAGTATTTCACCTCATGTCAAACATTGAGGTTCTGGCTGTGCTGTGGGGGGTGGGGGCTGTCAAGGGAGCTGTCAGTCCTTCCTCTAGTTGCCTTTCCTGGCCCCCTCCTTCATTGCTGTGTTATGAATTATGGAGGTTATGGTTATGGTATCCAATATTGTGTAGATAATGGCTTACAGCTTTATGATTTGATAGCAGCAGTGCATTCTTACTTTGTTTGTTTTTTACAATCTTTTTTTCTCCTCAAAGCCATTTTTTATGTCATATTTGTAAAGATACCAATATTATAACCATATGACTTTCTCATTAATAGCTAAGCTGTTTTGGGTATGAATATAAAGCACATTTAAACAGTCTGTCATCGCCTAAAAATCTGTAAATATTTCACCTGTGTTATTTTGTTCACATGTTCATCAATCTCAGAATAAAAGCTGTATTTTCTCTTATCATTTAAAGGCAAATGAGCAGATTAACCAAGAGAATTTTGGTAAGCATCAGATCAATCATTTTTATAAAAACTTTGAACACTGTCGAGTACAGCAAAGGCTAAATCTTGTCTGTATGATTTTTTTTTTCCAGGCACAGCCAGCGTGATTATTGCACTGACAGATGGAGAGCTGCAGGAACACCAGCTCATCACAGCACAGCAGGAGGTAAACCTCACACTAAGATCAATTTCCTGAAACCTGCTGTATTTAAGTATAAGATACAAGGCTCATTTAGAGACAGAAATGTTTGCCCTGCTTGAGTGCAACTTTTCAGGAAATAAACATTTTATTTTCTCTTTCTTTCCACAGGCAGAGAGAGCCAGATCCCTTGGAGCTATTGTGTACTGTGTTGGTGTGAAAGATTTCAATGAGACACAGGTAAAAACCTTGGCAGTCCTATCGACTTGAACTATCTCAAACATCTGCGGGCCTGTTTTAGTTTACTGGGCACACCACATGATCAGGAATCAGGAATCCAGAGTTGGTAAAACATCCAAAACCCTGCTCCTTCCACTCTGCGCAGTCTGTCTCACCCATAATTTAAACTTTCCTGAAAGCTAATACAGGTGATCTTACTTCAGCGGCCTCACAGGCCAACACACAAGGCTGAGCTGAAGAAAAGTCAGAACCTTGAATAATACGAAACGGTTAACCTCAACATGATGATGTGGAGTTGGATTCAGGGTCGAGAAATGAATATGAACAGTTTTAAGAGCTGAGTGCTTTGTCTCTCATAAAGGCTGGAAGACCTCAAATAACCAGACATGGTTTTCCTCGAGTTCAGTTTGGCGCTATTTGATGATCGTAAATGGTCCTGTTACCTGACTGTAGGTAATACATGATGCGGTCATAAGTTCCAGCAGGTTTCTCTTGTTTGACTGTTCTTAGCAGACTTAAAACTCATTCGATGAAAAACATCTGGTCTAGAGTCTCTTAAAATTGAGACTCACAAGCACGTTTGAAGCCGGTTTTGGCTTGTCAAGAAACGTTAAATCTCAGCAGCTCAGTGTTATACTCTAGTTGTTAACTGCACCACAGCTAGAAACACTTGAAAATGGCCTGTTATTTAATTTTGAACAAGTTGTTTATTTAGGATTTTGCTTCTCTTTTTTATACAATTTTATTTATTTATTATTTTTATCTTCATTTATTTATTTTTATACAAACCTCTTCATCTACCTCTCTCCCGCTGTAGCTGGCCACCATCGCAGACACCATCGAGCACGTGTTTCCCGTGTTGGGCGGCTTCCATGCTCTCCGAGGAGTCATAGATTCGGTAAACAAACTCTTCTTTGTGCAGAGATGAATTTCTGCAATGTAAGGTCATGAAAAGGCTGTACACATGCTCACATACATTTACATTTACAGTACCTTTGATTGACTCTACATCAGCACAGTCATCTCTCAACTCACTCACCACATTGAGGTTTACAACTACGTCCCGATACGATATTGAATTGGATTATATCGGCCTGCATCTAAAATCTTTTATAGCAGCACTCCGATACAAGCAGTCCATTCCAGAGTCCACTCCATCACCTCTACCTAGCAGCACCCAGATCCATCATGCAGAGCCCACATAATCATAACAACAGTGTGTACGAAGGTGACAGAAAGTAACAAGAAGTAAGATTGATGTTGGCAGTGTGGCGATATTTTTCGTTGAAGTCCAAAAAAGACATTGCAACTGAGTTCAAAACACAAGTATGTGCCAATATCGGATCAATATTGGTATTGGTCGATACTGAAGGCTACAATATGTGTTGTATTGGAAGTAAAAAAGTTGTATTGGGACACCCCTATTGACAACGAAAGAATTCACAGGTAGCACCGAGTATTGGCCCATATATAGTTTTTGTAAAAAGACAGTCTTTAAGTTGTCCTATCACGAGAGGAGATGAAGTAAATTTGTCTGTCTATACTGAGCTTTTAGTTCCTTCTTTAAACCATTGACTTCTTTTCATATGTTTTTCATACATTCTTTTGTTTTACATTTGTAAATATGTTCCCTGTATTTTCTCTGTCCCGCCTTCAGATCATCAAGAAATCCTGCATTGAAATATTAGCAGCTGAGCCCTCCAGTGTGTGTGCAGGAGGTGGGGCACTGCATACACACACACACACTCACACACACACACACACACACAATCACACATGCACTTAAGTGGGTCTCCCTGAGTCATCCAGCAGCACCAGCCACCCATCACTTCTGTAACTGTTGTTAATTTCATTACCGAGTGCCCAGTTTCCCGACTCTCACTTTAGTAATGACAATCCCAGATTGAAAAGCGACCTTATATGGGCATCCAGGTCAGTTACAGGAAATCTACTGGGACAAGTTAGAGCAGTGGGAATAATATCTGAGGCCTCATTAAAGGGATCATTGAAGGACCATGAGAGACTGGCAGAGCTGATGTTGGCTGCAGCTGAAATGTCAAATAGACACCATCCTTTAGTGTCCTGCCAGAGAAAGATTATTGCAGTTATAGCAGCATTAAACAAACATGAAAAACACCAATGAACAGATAAAAGCTGAGCTTGATTAAATACCACTGGCAAAAGCAGAAGGAACTTTTACAGCTCTTCACATCTGCTTATGCCTTTTATTAAGCAGTAAATTACTTTCACTCCTCTGGAGGAAAAATATTTTACTTGAAACAGAATATTAGTCTCCTGTCAATTGCCACAATGATCGATGCTCAGTCCTGCAGTCTCATTTTCACTAATTTACAGCAGAGCAGTTTCTCTAATTTATAGACAGCAGCTGATATATTGAAGTTAGAGCCATTTATCTTTAAAACTTTGTCATATGATTGGCCTTGATTTGTGCTAGAAGAGCTGACTGAGATGTATTTTGTATATTTCTATATTCAGGTGTGTAATTTAGTGTGAAAAACCCAAACAAGCTTTTTGCAGCCCAGAGTGGTCAACCTTGAATCCATCTCTATAGACTCTTTGAAACTGACCACAGAAAAATGCATTTATAATCAAATACAAGCAAGTTGGATTTTAACAATGGCAGGAAATGTAACTGTAAAGTTTTATATGAAAGTAAAAACAGTTTTAAAAAGTGGTTTTCATCATGATTCAGATTTTTTTGAGCATTTCTGAGGAATTTTCTGTTCGAGTTAGTTTTGGCTCCCCCTGTGGACAAAGAAAACATTTAATTTATTGGTTGATTTTGTCCCGTACATGCATAGGTTCATTCAAAAGTCAAACATAAGAAAATGTCAAAACAGACTCTTTTTGTCGTCATACTGTTCTTCGCCTCTTTTGATATCTACCCAGTTGCACATACTGAAGTTATATTATTAGGAAAAGTCAGCCCTGTTGCTGCTTGTCTAGGTCTTCTTTTGTAGGTCATATCATTCAGCATCAGTGTTTATTTCAGCCTGTTTTATAACTAGTTAAAAATCCTCACAGGAGCTTTAATATGTCAACACATCAATTTGTTTTGTGTAACCAGAGTCTTTCCAAGTGGTGGTGAGAGGAAACGGTTTCCTCCATGCCAGAAACATCGACCAGGTGCTCTGCAGCTTCAAAATCAACGATACTATCACAATCAGTGAGTACATCTTCTTCTTGCCAGTTTATCTTGTCATTTATATGTTAACAATCTACCATCAGTCATTTCCTAGTAAGTTCAAACTGAAGAGTCTACTTTTGAGGAAAGTAGATTTATTAGTCTGTTTTTTCCTTCCAGACGAGAAGCCAGCGGGAGTAGAAAACACGTTCTTACTGTGTCCAGCTCCTGTCATTGATGAAGTCGGGAAGTAAGTGCTTCTTTTATGACTTTATGATTAAACTACTTTTAGATTTCTCAAAGGCAGTCTTGTGTTTCACAACTCTTGGCTGGACTGTGCATCTTAAATCACATTCTTTGCCACAAACTCAGGGAAACACGTGTATGCAGACACGCGTCTGTAGGCACAGACCAGGAGAAGCCTGCCATACATTAGCTCCTTTTATGATCCCTATCGGAGGCCACATTCCTCTTTTGGAGATCCCAGTACAGCTTAGCAAAATATAAGAGACTCTGTAGCTGTGCCAGCACATGCAGTGGTACACCCTTCATCTATTTGTCCTACTTCTGTCCTGAATTAGGACAGAGCAGTAAAAACAAGTGGAAACAATTGGTTTCTGGCATTTATAGGCACAGGCAAGGCAGGAATGGAGACCTAGAAATCTAAAAGGAGTCAGTCCTTTATTTGCTAAATCACAGTTTTTATGTTCATGACAAAAGTGACAAAAATAAAGCTGCTCAAAGTGTTTTTAAACTCTTTCTACATGTATACCATATATAGTTTTTGAGCTAATCATGTAGTCCTGTAAACTGTTCTGTGCATAACTCTGGAGAATCTTGAGAATTTAGTGTGAGAAAACAAACTCCTGACCTCAGCTGTAGTTATCTGCTGGCCTCAGACTCAATTAAATAAGGAGAGATCTGATAATGTGACATGTATTTCTTAGTTCAGTATCAGATTTATTGCCACACATTAGGGGGAAAAAAGCATGTATCCGTCTCTCTTGTGTTCTCTGGCTTCATGGAGAGAAGTCTAAGGTGGCAGGCTGAGAATACGGCGACATCTGAGGTTATTTTATTCAAACATTCACTTTTTGGCCGTGGCCAGGGTCACTCTGTATAAGCTCTGCTCTCTTTTTAGAGCCACAGCAGCCTCCAAAATCAACAATCCACAAACCTCTCTAACCAAAGTCTTTATGAGGAGAAAAGTACAACAGACCACAGAGGGGGTTCAGCGGACAGTGGTTATAAACTTTAAACTACATGGAGACAAAAGAGGGGAGGAGATGACGCTTTAAACACACCTTATGTAACTGTAATTGTGTTGGTGGGGGCATACTTGTAGGACTCTGACACAGATTTCTTCTCTTTATAGCCCCAATGAAGTTATGAATCTCATTTTACAGTTTATTTAGTATTTGCTCTGGCAGTGAGGTGGAATAAAGGGATTTGAGTTTAGCTACTTTGGGGAAAGATTTAAAGTACCTGGACTGAGGTCTTGATGTTTTAATCAATACTCTATGAGAAGGATCGTAAAACTGAGAGTACTTGCTGACCTGTTGCTTCCTTTAAACTTCCCATCAATCCAGGTCAGCTCTGCCTTTGTATATTTGTTCTGCTCTTGCCTTAGTTCCCCAAACTTTCCATCCCATCCCCTCCACCTCCTGACTCCCCCAGTCCCACACTTATCTTTGTTTCCCTCCCTTCCCCCTCTCTCCAGCTCTGCCTTGACTTTCAGTGCCACCGTGGCTCTTTTCCCCCCACTGTTTTACCTCCCTGGTTGTTTTCCAGCCCCCTACCTCCACCGTCTGCCCGCTTGTTCACTTCTTTGTGTGTATCTGTCTTTTATTTGTCCCTGTCACACACAAACCTCACGTTTCATCCCCTGTCAGTCTCCAGCTCTCTCTCAACAGTCCTCTTGACCACTTCTGGCTGATCAAAGCTGTGCAGCAGCTAGCCGGGTCTTTCAAGTGCAGCAGTTTGAAAACCCTTAAGATAGAGGGGGCTCAAACTTCTACATTAATACCCAGACTGATTGGCTTATTTTAACTGTTAAGCAGCTGTTTGTATTCTCAGATTCAATTTCTGCAGTGCACTCACTCACTTCAAAACCTTCTTCGCTGCAGCGGTGCATCTTTTTCTATTTTGTGTGAGTATACTTGGTAAATTTGTCATCCTAGACATGACATCAGAGCAGCTATGTTTGACTAGCTCTGTAAATAAAAAGAGTCATACAGGTTATGTCACATTACTCAGAGTTTTTATGTGGGGTTATTTTGTGAAGGCAGACTGACCCACACCACCTAGCAAGCAGCAGACAAACTATAGTGTGTGTCTAGTTCAAGTGTGTGTGTGTGTGTCCATGCCTGTGCTGCCTGTCTGTCTGGTTTATTTCCTTGCTTAACAGCTGTCAGACAGGGTGCTCTAAAAGCCACATTTCCTTTCCACATCCTCTAATTCATACTGGTCAGTTCTCTCTGGTCACTCCATATCTTAACATTTTCCTTTTAGTATCCTGTTTCCTTCATTTAATCATTTGTTACATTCCCACTTATAGAAATTCAATTAGTACTGGCGAGATACACCCAAGGAGTTACATCAAATGGGTATTTTCTGGACTCTGCAGCATCACACCTTTCCTTGTTGATTGTCAGTTTCATATTTTTTAGTTTAAAGGCAGTTGGCTAAACCAAAGTTTTTTTACCCTTACAAAGCATAGACTGTATATAGAATGGATGCCGTCTGCCTCCTCGCTGGGTGTAGCCACCGCGAGAACAGCATCCTCTGGTGGCAGGCTGAAGTATAGGTCATAAATCCCGCCTCCTCCAGCAATCCCTATGGGGCTGTGGACAAACTTTAGAAATTTATTACACAGAATATACATTTTTCTCCCCCCTGGTTGAGATGTTGACATGTAGTTACTGTCAGACTGGTTTGTGCTCAAGTCCTTTTTTTTTTTGTACAGCTCCGTTTTAAAAGCTATTAGGGGGTTCATGTTTTCCATGATTGACACCTAATACAGCCTATGGGCGTACGAAGATTGCATAGCTCACCCAGGGGATATGCTGTTTGAGCAGAGCATCATCACAGCGACTCTCGAGGACTCTTCCATGGAATGAGTACAATGCTACTGCATGGTGGTTTCAGGAACCAAGGTGGAAGGTGGAACCAAGTTGTCCACAGTATATACAGTCTATGATCCAAAGCAACAAAAAGTGATGATTAGGGCCTTAGCACCAAATGGTGCAAGGATCCAAGAGTTTCCCTGTCCAAAGCTTCACCTTGAAAGTTGAGTCCCATGTGGTTAGACAAGCCATAAGACCGTGATGATGCAGTATTGTGACGACTGCAGTGTTTAAGTGGAGGGCATGTGCCTGGTGACATGGTGAACCTCAGTATCTCACCATAAAACAGGTTACGCAAACTTTCACCTCCTCTGATAGCGCCACCTTGTGTATAATTGACACATGATGACAATGTTTGATTTGCTTCAAATTTCAGAAGTATGATGAAATTCCCAACACTTGAAGATCTGAATATCAGCGTCTGCCTTACATTGTAGTTTTTGTGCTATCTTAGCAATACGAGCTGATGTTACTCTCATTCAATTTAGAATTAGAGTCAGTTCTTGGCTGTCTGATGATAACTTGATCTGTAGCGCCACCTACCAGTAAAAGCCTGTGCTCTGTCTGATGCGTAGTGCTCTGTTTACTTCTGTAGAGTAAAACTTGCTCAAAGCATCAGGGCCCTGAAGCTGCAGAAGATCTCTTGGAATTTAGCTTCGTATTTGTGACCTAGTTCAGAGACTGTCTCTTGTATGACAAAGCCTCTCGGGGCCGGGTGCCACAGACAGGGGAAGGAGGTTTGAAAGGTTTGGGAGACATAATAACACATTGTTGTTCTTGGCTTAAAACAGCAGCTGTGCACAGATCAGCAAATTCAACAACAATGTTTACATTCACGGCGGTTTCCTGTGATATGTCACTGCTGTTGTATTTATGGCTTTTATCTTGAGCTCAGTTCATTTTTTGTTGCAGGAATGTTTCACATCCAACTGTTTATGGTCAAACTCTGCTTTTTGTCATTGTTTGCACTCAGACTTGGACCTTTTACCACTCAAAGATGATCAAAACATAAGCAAGAACTGCCCCTCTGAAGCTTGTTTTGATGTTTCAGACCCTTAGTTTGCATATTTTTTGCCGCCAGGAAGGTCCATGTGTTGTTTGAACCTCACCCACTGACCCAGCTCTTCTACATCTCCACCCACTCTTTCTGTCTAAACCAGACAGACAGACAGCTCTCTGAGTCAGAGCAAAGCCAACTTTATCAGTCTAATGGTCTTCTTTTCATCTTCTAGACCCCCCTTTTACAAGCTCATGGCCCTTTACCAAACAAGAACTTGTGGGGGGGTTCTAATGAATACCTTTCATCAACATGTTTTGAAGGGCTGGATGAGGACTCGCTTGGAGGAGGCCATTGGAGGTCACATGAAATTCTCAGAATTGTTTTTCCACACTGCAAGGAGGAAAGGATTCGGACCATCAAGAAAGTCTCATTCAGTTCCAAACATCTGAAAGGCTGAGAGCTCCTGAGAGTTTCACCGTGCATAACTGCATGATTGGCAAAGATATGCTTTGACAGAGTATACCTTTTGTTCAAGGGAATATATGAGTTTTACTTTAATGCATTTGACCTTCCTTAAAGGAAATTAGAACTTAAGGAGCTTTAAGTACAGATTACAGGCTGTATTCAAAAAAGGCTGGTGGCAAAGATTGTTCTCATTCCTCAGAGTGCCATTAGTATGGTGTCATGTCTTGGAAAAATACACAACCTGCCCAGAATCATAAAAACAAATTTCCGACCAGCAGGTTTTGTGTTTTTTTTTTTTTTTTTTTTGTGTATTTCCATTTCAAGTTCATTTATCCCAAGTTGACCTCCTTGCTGCTGTGTGGCTCAGTCGGTAACGAGATCACACCTACAGTTTATTTGTTTTTTTCTCTCCTGTTTTAACCACAATGGAAAACTTTTGTACTTGGTTCATTTAAGTTCAAATTGCTCAATTAGAAGTTAAACAGGGCTCATAAACAGAAGTCACTCGACTTTACCCAGGAGCTCTTATGCCGGACTGAGACAGGTAGCTCCTTTTGGCAGCTGCAAACAGTCAAATATTATTCTCTAAATTCTGCAACGTGAGACAAAAGAGCCGAACATGAGTATCAGTCCAGATGTGACTCTTTTTTCAGCTTCAGTATCCAGTAAAGCTCGTTCTCCCTTGAGTTCTGTGGTTGTTGCCTGTTGGTTTAAATTACATCTTCACCTCTAAAAAATCCGCTCATGGTTAGCAAGCAGCTCGATGACGTTATTTAGTGTGAACAAAAGTTCAAATGACCTCATTCTGGTCAAATAAACTGATCTGTGGGGGAAATGCTTCAGACTAAATAAAATACTGCTGTTATGTAGATCACAGACTGAGATGTTTGCTCCAACATGATCAGACTTCTTCACAGCGTGTGTCTGCTGTTTCGTTTCAGGGTGATCTACCTCCAGGTGAGCATGAATGATGGCCTGTCCTTCATCAGCAGCAACGTGCACATCACCACAACGGAGTGTGTAAGTGACAGCTTTTTGACGATGTTTTTAACATGCACGACACTTAGGTCGGGTGATGTACCAGTTTGAAGACGCTCACTAGGATGCAAATATTTACCTGTAACCATAGCGATTACCGTATAGCAAGATCCCTGACATGGAGCCATGTATCCATGTTTACATAAGCAAAATTTCTTGATCTGATTAAAAATTTGAGGGATTGGAAAATCTTAATTCACTGTTTATATGGACGCAAAGTCAAATAATCCGATCATGTCCTGTGTATAAATGCATCAAGATTGATTCCGTTTAGAAGCATTTGGACCTGTGCAGAGCGTCTGATTTGGCTAAAATAACCACAGAAGAAGAGTTGTATTTATGCCTGTGATGTCAACAAAACAACGAACGAGATAGTGGCTCACTTCATCCAATTCAGGATTTTGCTCCCTTCAAATGTTGTTACTAGATGGCTCCCTTGCTTACTTATTTTACCATTCTGTCAAAGGTTGCACTGTGCGTGTAGATGTGACATCATTACACAGTATGTACGCCTTGTAATGTTCTCGGAGGAGCAGACACGGTTTTGATTTTTGCCAGGGTGTTAATAATGAAACCTCCTGTACTGGCATCAATAAATAAACCAAAGGCTAAAGAGTGAAGACCGAGTCAGGTTAAGGAGTTGTGTAAGTGTTTACATGGGCGTCTTTCGGAATATTGACATAAACCGCCCCTCTTGAGCGGAATACAAGTTCTTCCCGATTGAGCCAAATTGGATCAGGATCTTCCGATCGACATGTTTACATGACGCATTTTTCCTCTTATCTGATACTTCAGTCCAGGATGAATAAAGGGAACTGTAGCTGTTGACTTGTGGTTAAAAAAGAGGCAATTACTGTAAATTGTGACTCAGCTAAAGCTCAGCTGATTCAATGATAAACACACTTTATATCTGACAAAGTCTCACAGTTAAAGTCCCCTGTGGTTATGTTGTTGAAAGACCTCTATTTTCAAACAGTCATGTCTGGGTATAGCACGTTTTTTGCGGCAGTAACTTGACACAACTGAAAATATTAAAAACAGATGCATAAATATAAATAGGTAAGTAAGACACACACAGATTCAGTTCAAGGATACAATGTATTCAGAAATGAACATGGTGACTAAAAAGAACATCTTTCTTTTGATGCAGGCACAGATGAATATGTTGAGTATGTTTATTTGATAGCCAAAATATATGACAGTTTTTTCCTGGAAAGTTTTTAATTAATTTTTATTTATAAATACTGGTGACAAATACAGTTTGTTTTTGGCATTTAAATGTTAAAACTGTCAGAGCCATTCGTTGTATTTGTCCTGGTGCCAAACTAGGTGGCGTAAATTCCTGTTTTGTTGACTATAAGTAGAAGAAAACACAATTAGTGGCAGGTGTGTCGGTAGCTGGAGAAGCTAACAGTTTTTTGACCATCATCATCATTAATATCAACGTTGTTGCCATTCGTTTGAATTTGCCTGCGTCTTTATTTTGAATTTGGTTTCTTTGACAAAAGAGGAAGAATAAACAAAGAAAATGTGACTTTGACTAACTGTTTCATTTACACTGGGAAACAAGTAGGCACAGAAGATGCGTCAATTGTGCACCTCAGCAGCTCTAAGGATAGTTTCAGCAGGCGAAATCAAGTCACTATAGAAACTTCACTATTTAAACAGCAGGATTAAAGTGTTTTCAGGATATTTCACGGGTTTGTGATATAATAAAGAGGTTCTGTATTCTGCCTTGTATTGCATTCCTCCCCTCCAGCGTCTGCTTCTCCTGTCTTCACCAACCTCTGCTCTTACACACTTTTCCTAGAAGTCTGTTGTTTTGTTCTCTGCAGTGAGTTTCCCCTCTCCTTTTCATCTTCCCTTTTTTAATTTTGTTATCCTCCCCTCTTTTTGGGAGCCAAACCACAGGGGTTTCTAGTTGAGATCCACCCAAGAGAAGGCCCTCTGAACCCCGAGGGTGGCAGAAGGTTGGAGGAGCAGGTTCATGACCGCGAGGCTGATGGCTCACTCTCAGTTTTTTGGTTGCGAAAGTGAAAGGGAAGACTCAGGGAACAGCCAGTTGGATCAGGTCTTGTTGCACCCAGGTGTGTGAATGTAAAGAAATGTGTCAGTGTGAAACCGGGTGGAGCGTCTTCCCCTCAAAACCAAGATTAAACAAGACGCAATTTAAGACAGTTTAAAGCAGTTTCACAAAATAAAACACGTATGCTGGAACATATGGACCAAAGCCACAGACTCCCACCCAGCCGAGAGAGAGAGAGCTCTTTGAAGCTGTTCTGCTTCACTCCATATGACTTTGTTTCCTTGGAAATACTGTGGATTCAAACGGCTGTGTTGTGGTTCATGATATACAGAGCTCCATTAAACATAGAATTGCAATTAGCTGCTCCTCGCCATGAAACTAAACCATGCAGGATGGGGTCACCTCAGGATTAAGGAGGCGGGAAAAGTCGCTTACATGAGATGTGAAGGTTTGAAGCTAGAAACAACACGCTAAGATATCAAAAACAAAGTCAAATCCACAAACCCCCCCCTCCCGCAACCCCTCCCCTAATCTCCCTAAAATGCCATTTCAAGAAGTTTCAGCCTTTGTGGTGGGTGCATAAAATATGCGCATATAGCATGAGAAAACACACATTGTATATTCAAGGGCGACAAAACACAGATGTGGTCAGTGTTGGTGTTTTTGTCATTGTTTGCTGAACCATTACTTCTCAAATCCCGCGTGTCAGCTGTTTGATGTTAAAAATAAAAATCTGCTGATTGGTGAACTTTCTGAGAAAGAGTCATTTGGCTTCAGTCATGTGCACGCTCTCTGACAGACCCCCCTCTGCTGAGATCAGATGAATCCCCCCCTCCATCTTTTGCCGCAAGACAGATAGGGGAAAGTCTGGCCACATGTGATCCTCATCTGTGGTCTGTAATGGGAACCATGTTTGGCTCATGGATGACTGCCTGGCTTGAAGTGGGCAAAGAAACTGATGGATTCATTCAAGGATCAAATATTAGGCATTACACTAACCTCTGTCATCAGTGAAAACAAAACAGGATTATTTATTGTGACAGTGTTGAAGAAAAAATCACATTAAGTGATTGAGTGTGTGATCACTCTTTTATTGCTGCTTTTACTGCTTCTTTGCAGGATGTTTTGAGCTTCTAGTGCTGCTCCTATTTTTATTACAACTGGGGAAAGCTTTGAAAAATTGGTTTCACTTACACGATTTTCTCGACATTTGTCCAAGAAAACTTTGGTGAAGGAAATGGGCTTTTATGCTGTTGTAACTGAATGTGAAGTAGTGATTTGTCCCCTCATCCTGCCTGTGTGTCTCCTCTTCCAGTTTGATGGCACTATCCTCCTGATCACTCTGCTGGTGTTGTTCCTCCTGCTGGCTCTGCTCTTCATGTGGTGGTTCTGGCCGCTCTGCTGCACTGTGGTAAGAAACTTCAACTCCTCTCAGGAAGTGGGCAATTTTGAAAAAGCAACTCTCGAATGATAATTGTTCAGAGTTCAAGCGGGTTTGTCTGAACTCCAAAGGGCCAGTCAGCACCTAATAGGGTCTTAACACAAGACAAACAGAAGAGCCTTTAAGAGGACCTCTGAGACATGTACTGCTGCTGTGATTTATGTGTTTCTGAAAACTATCTCTCGTCCTTCAACAGGTGATCAAAGAACCACCTCCTCCACCTCCTCCTGAGCCTGTAAGTCAAAACCCAAGTTTAACAAAGATGTTAGCTTTGTCTTTATAGTGTATATTGAAATAAAAACCCAATGAACTCAGTAGAACTTAAGTTCTTGTTACTCAGACCTACCATCAATATTAGCATATGAGCCTGTCTATTTCAAGAATGGGTGTTTAAACTCATGAATGCAACTCATCAAACCATGCCAACTTACAGCCTGATCAACTAAAGGCTTGCGTGTGCAAAAACATCTGCAAACTTGATAGCGCGCGCAAAGCTGATCTACTAAATGGGTGCACCGAGGATTGGATCTGTCAAATGAGCAAAACAGCGCACAATCCATTTAGCGTGTTTGCCTTTATAAATATGCAGAATGTATGTAGATCATCAAAACGCACAAAAATTCTGAGAGGATGCGGTCGCTGTTTTGCGTCAATATTTAATACGTTTGAAAGGCACATGCAAACTGGCACAGTGTTACGCACATATGGCTGTAGTCATTGCGGGGAGAAGGAAGCAAAAGTGCAAAAGCGTTTTCGTAGTAAATGACGGTTTTGATAAATAATTAGGTCAAACGCGGAATAGTTGCAAAAATTGATCACTTTATCTTATTAATTTAAATAGTTTGAATCTCTTTTTTTATTTCAAATATATTTTCTTGCATCTGTAAAGTATTTTGAATTGCCTCGTGTATAAATGGTGGTATACAAATAAACTTCCCTGGCCTTTTATGCAGTTGCTGGCTTCCCCAAAACGATAGGTACAACTTCATGGCTTCAACTTCATTTTTCATCTACAATCACTCTGCTCTCACAAACTCTCCATGGTGACCGCCAATAGCACACACAAAATCCTCTTTTGCACCTGTTATCAATGCACATGCAATGATAGTACACATACCTGCAACACACCACTAGTAGCACATGCAGTTTTTTAGTTTGCACACACAATTTAGCACTCGCTATTTGGGATCGTAGTAGATCAGGCCCTAAGTGTGTAAAGGTTATAAAAGCAGCTAATGATTTTCTGAGTTTAAAAGCACATTACCGAGTAACAAAGCTTGTTTTTTCTGTTCTAGGAGTCAGATGATGAAGATGGCCTGCCCAAGAAGAAGTGGCCCACTGTGGATGCCTCTTACTACGGAGGAAGAGGAATTGGAGGGATCAAAAGAATGGAGGTGACAAAATGAAAAGCGCAGACATTCATGATTACATCTAAAATTGAGTAAACTGATAAAAAAGACTCTGTTGTATATTCATGGATGAGTTTGTTGGGTTTGTAGGTGCGTTGGGGAGGAAAAGGCTCCACAGAGGAGGGGGCCAAACTGGAGAAGCCAAAGAACGCTGTGGTGAAAATGCCCGAGCAGGAGTACGAGCCTTTCGAGCCCAAACCAAAGAAAGCTCACAACAAGAAGGCGCCTCAGAACCGGAAGTGGTACACACCCATTCGGGTAAACACACTCACACTCTCATTCTCACTTTGGACCAGCAGACAGTGGAGCTTTAAAATGAGTTGACTTATCCATGAGAAGCTATAGGAGACCACAGAAATGCTATCCCGTAACAAAATATCAGCTTTTCAGGAACTCGAAAATCTGCCCTATTTACAGTTAGACCGCTTTGCATTTTTGAGCTCTTGCCCAGTGAGTTTCAAATAACTGTGGTCTGCCGAATTTTCTCAACCCACAGAGAGGCCCGAACTCCTTCAAGTAAGGTTAAAACATGAAAAGCACCATGAGTGGAGCTGTGAAGTTTTCACAAGACAGCAGGGAGGGATAAAGCCTGATCTGGCTTTGTTTGTGTATCATTAGTTTCATGAACACAAAATACCGAACGATCAATGTCTACATATAACCGAAGTGATTTAACATCTTCTCCAGACAGAGGGACATTATTAAAACTGGCGTCAGGGCTGTTTGTACTTCAGATATATACCACAGTACAGCTTTGTGCAGCAACACTGGCCCTCTATACAGTAGTAGTACTCACTGTTATCTTTTGACACAACTACCTTACAGCTTTGAATGCTGTATTTGCAATATGAGTCAGGACTGCAACAGCACTGCAGTGATTCAATGACAAATCGGTAGGTGTACCGGTAAAATGTAGGAGCACCGGTCAAAAAATAGAAGTTTAACCACTTCATTATGCTGTGAACACTTTTAACTGCTAGTTTCAATTTCAGGAAAGCCCGCTTCTCACAAAACGCTGCTGCTTGTTAATCCACAATAACACATTATCATCTCCAAACTAAGGAGTTACTGTGATTGGTCGAACAGAGCAAAACAGACCTCTTAAAGTTGAACTACATGTTCCTCAGATTAGATAGCTGTTTTTGCTGGAACTATCACTGCTTTCCTTCGTATTAGAAGTAATCTGCTACTTTTGTTGCTGTTCAGTTTTATCCTCGCTCTCCATGGCAGATTGATGTTTTCGGTAAAATGAACTGCTCTACTATCAGCCAAAGAGTTTCTTTTTCAAAGTCCACGTGTTTTAAATTAATCCCGTCTCTACCTAAACACGACCCAGTGACTAATCAACCTTTAGCCAGAGAGGAAGGAACCAATCAGGCGAGTCAGCTGCTGTAGTGTTAGTTTGGGATTAAAACCTGCAGACTCTTGGCTTTGAAGGACCACAGACCAAATGTTCGCTGATACAGAAGAATCAGTATTAATAGGATTTTATTAAGTTATGGACAGCGGCATGGAGGGGTCTGGTGTCCAGATGTGTCCAGATGTTTCACCCCCTCCCTCTCCTCTCCTCTCTCCTGTGCAGGGTAAACTGGATGCTATCTGGGCTCTGTTTCGTCGCGGGTACGATCAGGTCTCCCTGATGAGGCCTCAACCTGGTGATCATGTGAGTACAAACCATACTGTGGTGTGAATGAGCTAACTTTGAGATGTTGTGGAGTATTTTTCCAAAAGATAGTTCATGGAACTAAGAAAAGGACGGTTCAAGGTAAATCTTTTTGAGCTGATACTGATCACCAACTATAACCTACTGGAAAGTCAGGATGTAAGAAAGACTGATGCTGCGTTCCAGTCACCTCGGAAGTCAGATGTCGGAGCTGGGAATGACGTTACACCCGGGTTGACAGCATTCCAGTTAACAAGTCGGAAAACAAAGATGGACGCCTACTGTTACCTGTCGTTAGCTGTTGTTTACAATTGTCAGCTGTCATTAGCGGTTTTCAAATGTTGTTAGTTGTTGTTAGCTATACTAGTTGTAAACAATGCATAACACAGTATTTTGCTCTTACAAACACCATAGCACCGTGTTAACAGTTAAACGTTGGGCGGTACAACATATACCACTTATTTAATTTCGAAGTGCTAATAAATAATACATCACAAAAACTTTCACTGTTATTCTTTACTGTTGATGCACTGCATCGCCATCTTGGATTATGACGTTGTCGTCAAGTCGGGGTTGGTGAGGATCGTCCGACTTTCCGTGTCAAAAATCCGATTTCAGGGGGGTGTTTCAGATGAATTTCTGACTCTGAGCTCGGAAATTCTGACTTCTGGCTACGTAGCACGTAGCATAAAATCTGACAAAAAAGAACTGTTCTCGCTCTTCAAATAGCATCAATTTTCTTTAAAAATTCTGTTGTATTATCGACATAATAGATAATAATAAAACATTTTCTTTGAGGTTATTTTTAAAACATGTCATGCACCTCCAGTTTAAGCAGTAGTAGTTGGCTTGTCAGACAGTCAAATAGTCACTATTTCTTGCAAATGCATTTAGAGAAAAGATATGACACAAGTCTTGAAAATCTGGCATGACTGTTACACTGGCTGCAAGGTAATCAAATATAAACTATGTAAATCATTAATAACTTGATGATAAAGGTGTGTTTGTTTGATTTTTATATTATTTAAACCAGATGTAAGACTTTAAACCAGGCCACATGCACATTGTTTCATTTGGTGACTCAAAAGAAGTGAAAATCCGCACAAATGCCTCAGCTGTCCCAAACTGTATCAACAGAAAAGATGCAGAGGAGAAAATAGTCGTCTCGGCTGGTACAGTGTAGATCAGGCATTAGGGTCAATGAAGCCTCGGTGCATGAATTTTGCCAAACTGAGGTCTGAGCTGTCATGACTTTGTCCAATTCCTGCTCTGTCCTGTGTGATAATCAGAGCCTCAAAAAACCTCAGAAACCCGACACTATGTTAAATGTCTTCCTGTCTGTCTGCAGCTTCAGTCATCTGTACCCATTACTCATCTCATCCTCTCCCCCCCCGTCTGTCTGTCTGTCTCTCCGTCTCATTCTCTCCCGGTGTTTCTGGTCTGGCTAACACCTCCGCTGGCCCGTCTCCATCTCGTTCAGCTGGCCTCACTCTCACACCTGCTTCAGATTAGACGCCATAAATCGGATAGAAGGCAGAACCGCAGCTCACACCCGGACACATCCTTTTAGCTCGATAGGAGGTTTTTCGTGTGTTTGAGCTGGTAAAAATTCTCGCTTCATCCCGGATCAGCCACATGGTTTAGTTTTAATGCGCAGAGCCTTTTTATCAATAAACCACAGATAGGAGTTAAATGTGGGGTTAGGATGAGAGTTCACTGAGTACAAAAGGCTCTCCAGAGACGGTTAAAATCCCTCTGCAACAACCAGCAAAGTCCGTTTTAGCGGTTAAATTTGCAATGGTGGATCTTTGTCATTTCTCACCTCATTAATCAGCTGTTTTCTCACTTGTAGCACTTAGCAAACTTTGGAGTTCATAAGATTTCTTCTCCCAATCTGTTTTTCTTTAACTATCTGTTGTTTTAATTCCTACGCTCCGCTCGGCCGCCTCTCCCGCTGATCAGACCCGTCCTTAGCTCTCATTAAAACCATGCCCTATTAGCTGAAAATTTCCAATGATGTCTTTTAACAGGAATTCCACATTTAAGAGCGTTGCACTGGCACCAACACAGGAACAGAGACGAGGTTTGCACACAGCTTTCCCCGGGATGAAGGGACCACTAATAACTCCTGAAAAGAGTCAGCTTCAATCTGATAGAAGCACAAAAAGAGATTTTGTGTTTGATTTATATTCCATTAATTTTATCCCACGAAGGGAGGCTTTTTGCTGCTAATGTGCCCTCTCCATGACGCAAAGTTCAGACTCCTGAGGAAATCGTGTCGCCCTTTTCTGCTCAAATGATGTCGTCTCTTTGAGTTCTCTGTGGTCTGTGATGAAGCGGCAGAAACATGTCGCAGGCCAGCGGGACAGCTCATCTGCAAGTTGTGTAATGTTTAAATTTAAACACAAAGGAGTGGAAACAAAAGCAGAACAGCCCTTCTCCTCCCTCCCTCCCTTCCTATTTAACACTACTTCAGTGTTACCTGCAGAGAGATTTGGTGTTCAATTTCCTAACAGATCACGTTGAGGGCAGTCTCACACCCCGAGGCTGGCTACGGTTCAAACTTAAAGAACATTCGCTCTTTACATGCAGCTGAGTTCAATCTGGATTCTTTGTTGGTCATTTTCTAGTCATGTTGTTTTTTCATCAAAGTGGTTGCTGGCGCTGTAACAGACAGACATCCCCCCAGGGATCGGCCTGGATCAGGGCTGTACAGCGTGGTCATCAGCCTCCTGATTTCGGAGGTCTTCTCCTTCAGCTTTACAGACACACACACTGAAACATTTTTCTCTTTTCTTGCGCTATAAACCCAGTAACCCTTTGTCATGTTTGTGTAGCATAGGCTCCATACGGTGTGATGTAAAGCAGAGTAAGTGCAGCTGTGTGTGAGTGTGTGTGTGTGTGTGTGAGAGAGAGTGTCTTTGTTTCTGCTTTTCTTTAAAATACTTGAGTGTGTGCATGCAGTGTGTATGTATGCTCACATATAACCCTATAATTTACCAGAGACTGACCACAGCTCAGCTCAGAGGGATGAAGTTATCTACATTTGATACAGCAGTTCTCCATTATGAGAGTGTGTCACCAAACCACAACCAATTATACTGACGTCAGAGTGAGCAGTGTGGGGCTGAGCTGGTTAACTCACACACACACACACACACTTTCTCTCTCTCTCTCTCTCTCTCTCTCTCTCTCTCTCTCTCTCTCTCATTTACATAAACACAAATCTCCCCAGGAAAGCATTTTGCAGGCTTAAGGACATGAGGTAATACCTAAGCAGACTACTGCCAGGGCTGTCTCTACCAACTGACCAACTATGTCTCACACACACACACACACACACACACACACACACACACACACGTTATGCCAGGCTGAGACATTTTTATGGCCTTGGTGAGACTGTAGACATGGAGGAGGTCAGCGGTAAAGAACAAGCTCTTTTTTCCTTCTTTGGTCCTAGAAATGCTCAAAGGTTCGACCCACAGCTGGGCGCCAGCAGAACAATGTGCGCAAAGCTAACATGATTTTTGAAAAAGATCGATTATTCCTCAATGCCGATACCAATTGTTAGAGGGGGGGGGGATCTGATGACCGATTAATCGGCCGATTTTTTTTATTTTTTATGAAGTTTTAAAAATATATTTATATACTATCTACAGTATACTATATACAGTGGATAAACTGTAGGTTACTGCTCTTCACGCCGACAGGAAGACTGACCCCCCCTCCGATCGGTGCCTCTGCGTCTTAACTCATGTTACTCATTTCCAGTCCGGTCTCATCTGGAGACATGCAGCTGCCTCAGTTAGAGAAGTAGCTCAATCACCTAATGTGTACTGTTGTTTATTCTACCGTTACTAGCACGGCTAACAGTGTAGCAAGGCTAATAGCAGATGGCTAACTCTAACTTTAGTTTGCATGTTACATAATGCTTCACCATTAACTAGGCGTGACTGAGACCAGCACAGCAGGGAACATCGTGAAGTGGGTTGAACTGAAACTTGTTGACTTATTGTGTATTTCACAAGCTAGTTTATTTACCATTGAGGCGGACCACTCTCCTCTGTGCGTCAGTGAGCTGCCCGCTTCAGATCCATCACTCTGCTGTGCTGTGAGGTAGTTAGTGGATGAAGATTGTCATGAAGTCGCTGTGCCATCTACTGGATCTTTTCAAATGGTGGAACATTTTCAAAGTGAAACTGAATCTTATTCTCCACATTTTATTTCTGAAAATACCGGCGAAAATCGACAAGTTTAGTCTCAAACGGGCTAAAATTGGACGATTTAAATCGGTCGGGCCCTAGTTCCCACTGCTAACTGTACCCTACCACCTTACAAAAGAACCGTGTTAGCTACCGTACAAGTCCTAGAGAGTACAAAGTTTGTTTTTTAGGGAGTCGCATGTAGATCACAGCTGAAATAGACAAAAAATTGACAAGTTGAGGCTTTATCCACTCTGTATCAGCCATGTATGTCACAAAAGTTGTTAATCTCTTTGTGCAGGAAACATTTGTCCTTGATCTATCTCCTTCTCCCTTTGCATCCATCCTTGCACCCACTCACTGCTCAGCTGGGGTTCGAGTGTAAAGCAGCTGCTTTAGATTTAGTTTTAGTTTCCTGATAAGTTCAAACTCAGACACCATTATAACACTTTAAAGTATTCCCTGATATGAACAAAAACATAAACAATTACACAATTTCAGTCATCCATTAGGTCAGGAGAAATATGATCCAGTGCTATCTTCCCTCTCTTCTCAAGTGTCTCGATCGCAGTGTGTTCAGCTCCACTCTGGCTGCCCAAATAGAAGTCGGACTGTACATCTATTTAGCACCTTTTCTTCACCTGTGATAGTGGAAACACCTTGCAGATATAAATCAGACAGCTTTTTGAAAAGACAGCTTTAATAAACTCCAACCAGAAGAAAGCTACACGACAGGAAAATCTCCACAAATTATTAATTTTCAGTTTGAATCAAAGTGTCAGATAAGAAGATCTAAACCAGACAGTCACATAGATTTATTGTGTGATAAGGATTACAATATTCCCATAAGAGTGTTGTAATCTTAAGAAGCTTCCCGTATGTTATTTCACAGAAACAGATCTTTTTACTGAGAACTGAGGTGCTTTCCAAGCTGTAACCACAAACAGCTGAAAAATAAGAAGCGGATTATTCATTTGTTTCACAATAAGTCTATAAGATGGAGCAGGTCAAGTTTAGTGTGTTTATTTCCAAAGAAAGCTCCGTGGGTTTTTCCAACATTGAAAGCTCCTCCTTCACGCATATTCATCCATGAAACTCCAGACTTGATAAGTGTTGACAGACCACAGTTGGTGTGTCGCTGCCTAAATCTTGTCCTCTCTGCTCTGTTTAGTCATCTTGGTGTTTTTGCTCATAGCGGCTAGTTTATCATACAGGATAACTTGGACATGCTCATGCTGAAGGTTTCAGTTTTTATTCTTAGCCTTATGGTGCTTCTGTGTGATTGTGTAGATGGGTTTGAGCAGAGTCTGTGATAGATGTACAGCTATGTGCGTTATTAACGTCCAGCTAAACAGATGAAGACACGGTGCCTGAAGAAATAAAGGCCTAAAGAGAGACACAGGAGAAATACAGCAGTTTGATCTTTATGTTTAATTTATGTACTTTATGTTTGATCAGTACAAAAGAGGATTAAATAAGAGAAAAAAAATAACTACAGGAGGGAGATTTTATCTAAAAATTATAGTCGAAATTTTAAAAAGTTGAAATTTCGACTTTATTCATGTCGACTCTCATCTTAAAATGTTGACTTTAATCTCAAATTTTACTTCTTTAATCTTGAAATTTCAATTTTTAATCTCGAATTTCAATTTCTAATCCCGAAACTTCGACTTTAATCTCCTTCCTGCAATTATTATTTTTCTCTTCATGTGGCCCTAATCCTCTTTTGTAGATCAGGATGTCTATCATGAGTCAAAGTTCGTCGAAAAGATTTTAAGAAATTGCACAAACAGGTACAGCTGTTGTTTTGTTGAAGCTGGTTTCCCAACACCTAAGTCATACTCAGCTCCTTTCTCGTTTTCCACCCTGCTCCCATAACTCGGTCTAACACTGTTACTGGTCATTAGCAGATTAACATTACTTCACTCTAATCTAACTGCCAACCACATGCAGTCATAGAGCTGGTCAAGTCACTGTGAAATCCAGTGAAGCTCGTGGTTTCTGTAAAATTTTACGAGAACCTCAGGAGGGAAATCAGATTCCTGCCGGAACAAATTCATTTGTTTTACAGTCTGATAAGTTTGCTTAAACCTGTTAAAATTTCCAAATAAAATACAACCTTTAACCCCCCAAACAGACCCTGCACACACGCACATATTCACCATTCACACACCCAAATCCAGATCTGTCTATATGCTTAAACCCTTTCATAGTGGTTTTTACTCACCAGTCTGGTTCTGGTGCTTTGGTTACCCAGTCAGAGCTTGTAGACGGATCATGAACCAACCTGAAACATTTGGGTCCTATTTAAGCCGTCTGAAGGGTATCATCTTCGGCACATCTGGTCATGTCTTAGTACAGGTTGATGGAGAAGCAGCACATGATGTCATCAGTAACAGAGGCACAGGGGGCAAAGAGGTTGGATTGGATCTCTTGATTATCGTTAAAGGGATATTCCAGAGTAAAATTAATTTAGGGTCAAACACACCATAAAACCGATCTAGACACCCCCTCGAGAGATGAATGTTGCTGACTGCTTGCTTCTCTTGTTACACCAACTTTAGTAACGACCGCAGGATAGCAATACACAGAGGTTTGAGGAGCCATAAACAAACCTCAACCAAACGCCACTCTATAGCTACAAATAATGCTCAGAACAGCACCTAACTTCATCAACAGTACATATAGGGTCCCAGCCACAGCATTTCTTTAGCAAAAAGACTAAACACAACTCACCTACTCTCTTTCAGCAGCTGCTTGTTTGTGGTAAGACCTCGGGCCAGTCCATTATGGACTGCTGTGGGGTGACTTAGTTCAAGGAAGAACATTTATGATCATTTCTTTATTATTTCCTTTAAGTAATGACCACAATATTAATCCTTTTGCACTGCAGACGCAGTAGTTCTTCTGCCTTAATGTCTCAGTCTGATCATAAATGTTCTTCCTTGAGCTGCGTCCCCCCACTGTAGTCAGTAATGGACTGGCCTGAGGTCTCTCTACAGACAAGCGGCTGCTGGAAGAGAGTAGGTGAGTTGTGTTTAGTCTTTTGTGTAAAGAAATTAGGCAAAGTTAAAAAGATGTTTGGTGGCTAGTACTATGGCTAGGACCCTATATGTACCGTTGATGAAGTTAAGTGCTTTTCTGAGCATTATTTGTGGCTATAGAGTGGCTTTTTGGTTGAACGCATGGCTCTCTGAATTGCTATCCTGCGGTTTTTTATAAAGTTGGTATAACTAGAGAAGCAAGCAGTTGCCAACATTCATCTCTCGAGGGGGTGCCTAACTTGGTGTTACAGTGTGTTTGACCCCCATCCATGTGTGACACAGTAAATCATTTGCCTTGAGGTGCTCACTTTTATCCAAGGCTGATGGAAATGTTGTCACTTTTTGTAACGTTGGACGAATTATACAATATTTTAACATGTTGTGTGATTTTATTTTGAACCTCATCGGTGAACTCTCTGGAAACATAACCAGTTGAAAAAACAGATTTGCACATAAACCTGTTTTGATGTTTTGTCTCTTTCCTTCTTTCAGGGTCGATGCATCAACTTCACACGAGTCAAAGACGAGTCAGCAGCGGCTAAGGCCAAACCCCGCACTCCAATCCACACCCCCTCGCCTCCACCACCGGACTACCCCTCTGTAACCCGCACCCCATCCTCATCTCCCACTTCCGCCAGCCCGCCTGTCAGATCACCTCCATCAGGACAGGTACCACCAGGACCGCCACCAGCCCGCACACCCCCAGGGCTACCCTGCCCACCACCAGCACGTCCCCCTCCCACCCTACGACCCTGAGCCGTCAGATCAAACCCCTCTCACCCCCCCCTGCCTCCCCAGCTTTGACGTCACAGACTTAGCGCTCAGACCAGATCTTTCAGTTTGAAAGGTCCTGGTCCTCACTGCCAAAGAAAATCCTGGTATCAGCCAAAGACCAGCAGTATTTGAAACCCAGACATTCTGATTTTTTCTTCTTGTTTCTGGTTTTGGGGGAATGTCGAGTCAAACTGTGAAAGTGATGGTTTTGTTGTTTCGAACACGCTACCATAAACGTAGGAAATTCTTGGAGGGGTGGAGACAAATACTCGAAAGACACTCATGTGGAAATGTTTCTTATTTTCAAATTTGGTGCAGATTTATCTAAAGGTTTCAGTTCTTGTTGATACGCAATAAAAACTGTCTTTAGAAGCGGTTTGACTCAACATTCAGGCCTAAACAGATGGGGAAGGTAATGACTCTGGGAAATATTTTACTTAGTGTCGGCATTGTAAGATCAGGGAGGATTGTTGCTGGACAGCAAAGCATGTAGGGACATGAAGTCCACAGAACCGCAGTGGACACATTTTGAAAGAAATTTCTTTGTTGTCTTAATTGACTACTGAGTCAGGCCAATGTTGTCAAGAATGAAGTTTGAATGAAAGTTTTCGATGAAACTCAGAGTGAGAACTTAAAGCAACTTTCAATTTGGCTCATTTCTCCTTTGCTGTGAGGGTAAATCTGAGATTTCCATGAAGGAAAATCCAAGATAAAGTGTAATTGTGGACATTGTTAACTTGCTCTCAGTGCCAAATTGTTTCTTCTTCACCTTTTTTTGATATTTCTTAAATATCCAGAAACAAATGTCAGTGTTTGACTGAAGCACAGTGCAGTCCCTTTAAGTTGCAGTCCAGTGTGTGTACCATGAAGTGACAGGGCGGTGTACAGATGTTTTATAAAAGGGATGTTTACACAGTACGTGTTTGAGATTGGTTTTTGAATGTTATAGCAGTTGATACCTTTGAGGCTTCGGATATTGTCCTTAAACACTTTTTCATGTAGTTAAATTTAGAATACAGCGATATATATTTTTGTTTGTTTTATTTTTTGGTATCTGCGCACATAGACTGCTGGGCAACTACAGTATGTATGTTTTTGTTTTTGTTGGCATTTGAACTTTTAAAGTGATGAAATCAGAAATCAGGTTTATGTCTCTCCTAAGATCTTTATACTCAATCTTATACTGATACTGTACTTTGATACCAATATGAGTGTGTTATGTCTTCAGCTTTATCATCACCGGTCACATTGCAACTGCAGGGCAGTTCAAAGAGCATCTAATTTATTTTACTCCCCGAGGGAAATAAAGGAGAGTACTTGAATATCGACAAGGTGTCCAACCACACAGACGGACACTGTGCGCAGAGTTTAGAAACAACAGCTAGTCATACAAAGCCACCAGCTTTTTTCACCCCCCTTAGCTCCACTTAAAGTCATGTGTATCAAAATAAGCCAAGTTTTGCGCTCCACACTTCTCACCAGCAGCTGAATAGAAGCTAACAGCTTCCTGAACACGTCAGCATTGAACAGAGAAAACATTAAAGTGTGAGATCTTTCCTGAAGGCGTCAAATTTGAGGTCAAAAAGGATGCTGGTATTCTTTTTATAACCTGTACCTTCCTGTCTGATTTATTATGCTTTTATTTTGAAGTATGTCATCCAGTTATTTTAAGTACCATCATGTTAGTTCCTGCAGTTACATCATCTCAGTGCCTTACAGCTGAGCTAAATGAAGGTGCATATGTTGCTTCACTAATGTTTCCAACAACCCATGTTGATTTTGTATGCATTTTGACATGACTCAGACATCCTCCAACAGTTGTTGAGTTAAAAAACATGAGATTTTTAAAATTGAGGGTACGTCTCTGTTTGATTTGTTACTTTTTAAAGAAACATGCAAAAAAAGGATTATTCCTCAGAAAACCAAGAAAATATCTCAGTTGATATTTGGCAACAGCTCAATGTGGGATTGTTGGATTGGGTGTGTTGTACTTTCACTCATATACAAACACGTTCAAATGAAAGGTTTTATTGTAGTGAATATTCTTCATACTTTGGACTGACCCCGCTTACATTGCCTTAATGCAGTGGTTCTCAAGTCCAGTCCTTGACCCCCACACACCTGATTCAAATGATCAGCTCATTAAGCCATTCCAGAGCTTGATAACGAGCTGATCATTTGAATCAGGTGTGTTGGAGCAGGGAAACATCCAAAACATGCAGGACAGGGGGGCTCGAGGACTGGACTTGAGAACCACTGTCTTAATGAATCTCTCTGATCAGGACAAATAGATCTGGTTGATAAGTGTCTCTCTTCTTACAGTATTGTTTGATAGACTGATAAGGTTTTGATTTTGACAGTGCTGATGTTTGTGTGAAATGTCCATCAAAGATTTTCAGAGAAGATACAGCACATCATGTCAGTCAGTGTTTGTTACACATTAAAACAGCAGTGCTGAAGCAATTTTGAACGACAAATATGATTTTCACTTGTTGGTTGACATGACATTTTTTACAGTATCAATAAAGATCGACTTTCAAGCTTCTACCAGGGAGTCTCTTTGTGTTGATTCCCCATACAGCTGCATCCATGCAAGTTTAATCCTATTGTTAACTCTGAGTTTACATGCAGCTAAGCTCATAATTCGGTTTTTCCGCTGAATCAGACTTCTCTCCTTTCCGCGTATACATGCAGCTGAAGAAATCAGATTATTGGCGTGAAAGTGTCCTCTTCCCCAAAACAAGGGGGCGATATGGGTCTTTTCAACAGTGCTGTTTCCAGTTGACCCCATACAACTCTCAACAACAACAACAGCAGGTCCGTGGCAGACGTCAGAAGTTGCTGCAACTGCTGCTGGGCATCGTACAGCGTTGAAGATGGAGCATCGTACAGCGTTGTTTTTGTAGTACATGATGTACGCGCTACTTTTTCTGCAGATGAAGTGCACGCCACTTCTTCTCTGTTGTTTTTGTTCCAGGGTTACGGGGGCATGGCGCACGCACACATGCATTGTCCAATCATACTCCAACTACGCTGGTTACATGGAAGAGAAAATCTGATTCCAATCGCATTATCTGGGTGTCTTAATCAGAGTTCTCAAACTTTGATTATAGTCGGACGAAGGTGTTTACATGCACTTCAGTTGTCCGGTCTTAATCAGAGTAAGGCAATAGTTTGGTTTTCTTGACTGATGGATAGATCTACGCACTGCTCACACTCACTTAAAATTACAAGATCACCCAGCTTTTCTCCAGCAAAGTCCCACTTTTATTAACATGTTTATTTGGAATTGATACTCTACCTGCAACTGAGTTTCCTTAAGGTTCAACAAGACCCTTTAAACAAACATAAGCAGTGTAACATGTCAGCGTTTTCAGGCTTGTATCAAAAGATATCGCTGCATGTGTCTGACAAACCTCAACAACAAGCAATAAAAAAGGAAAAAACGGATTCTTCAGCAGGGAACGTAGCCAGAGATGCACTATACTTGTCTCGAGTTGCACTCACTTTGTCCCAGCTAGCCTCTTACATGAAAAAAGTAGTTCCACTTTAGACACATTTTCCCAATCCTTTAATCCTGCAGAGGCTTCTTTGCTGATGGAGGCAAAGGGTGCTTTCCAGTGAATTCCCCCACATACTTTTTTCCACCGCTGGGTTCACCGCTGGCTACCTTCCGGTCAAAAGCTTGATGCTAACCTTTCAACCTCTACCTCCCACACTGTCTCGGGACAGCAAAGACGCAGGAAATAAAGTCACTATTGGACCTTTATTGAAGTGTGCTGAAGTGTATCTGAGCATCCCATTTCAGCTCAAAGGATGTCTTTGTGTTTCCAACAATCAAACCGTCAAATGTGTACAAAAACACGCTCCCTGCCAAGACAGCATTCAAAGTGTGTTTCTCTGGTTGGTAATGAATTTAGTACAGCTAGAAAAGCCCAGTGAGCAGTTCCAGCTGGATAATTACTGTGGAGTCTGCGTTTTTCCCCTCTGCATGCAGAGAAGAGGAGGATGTGGGATGTTGAAAGGGATGGGCTGAATCAGAAAAATGGAGAAAATGAGGCAGACGGGCAGTGAGTCCTCCGCACAGACATGCTGATGGAGGGAGAGCTGAAGCTGCCTGCACTCCTACACCTTTTCCCCGTCTTTTTCCTGAGGACAAACCTTACAGTAGACTTACGATATATTTTGATAAAGGGCAAAAGTATGTATCTCTTCTGATCCCACTTGTGGATCTCTTTGTTATAATCATTGTCATCAAACAGACCAGAAACAATGTGAATAAAGAAATGTAGATTATATAACATGACACTGCTTGCATGGTTACTCATGGTTTCTAAAGAACAATAAAAGTGCAGATAATCAAATAACCACAAATAAGAAGGAAACTGTTTATCAAAGCTTAAAATTATAAGACAAAAACATTCAAAGGCTTCAATTTTGTGGTCCCAGAACATAAACATTTATGGAATATGAAATAAGGCATACCAAACATACAACAAAATGACATCTTACACGATAAAAAACACATTATAATGATGATGCCTGTAAACCCCATGTCTGTTTTCCATTTAAATGTGTCAGAACATAGGATTTCTTTGGGGAATATATTCAGGCCACAAATTAAAGCACTTGTAGTCTGTCCCTGCCCATCACATTCCTGCTGGGCTCCATTAAAAATATCTTTAACAGCGCTGCATGCATGCAACAATCTATTCAAAACTTTATTGACATATTTGTTGCAGGATGATATAAAATGTACAATGTTGTGCAACATGTTTCATGATTTAAAAATGGACATGTCAGAAAATAACTAAATAATAATGGAAAAAAATTATAAAATCATTTTACTTCAATTAACTAGACCCCTTTATATTAAACTAATCACTGTGTCACTTTACTCCCTCAACCTGAATTACATGAATAGTCTAAAGCAGAAGGAGTCAAAAAATTCTACAATTAAAACTAACTTTGTTATTGATAGAAGTGGAGATACTGATGCTATAAAGTCAGCATGTGCCTGTAGCTGGAAGTAGGCAGGTCCACGGCAGGAGGACGTCTGGAGAAGTGGTGTCATCTCCTGGTTGACCTGTTGCGTATCAACTCAATCAGTAAAACACATAAGAAAGAGGCTAACAGGATATACGTGGAAAGAAAAGTTTAGTGTTTTTTTACATCTTTTCTAGGGCTGGGCGATGAACCGGAAATTTACCGATACCGAAATTTACATCAATAACCAACGTCATTTTGCCCACGTCAAAATATTCAGTGTCAAATAAATAAAAGTTGTTTTTGGATGTGTGTAGGTAGGCTATGGTCTCATGTTTCTTTAAGACGCTGTCCTACGACAGAGACGTGACTCCACCCCATCCAGTCCATAACAAAGAGGGAAAAACAGGAGATGAAGGACGGTTTAAAAGTTGTAGCAGCATTATCAAGGTGAACTGCTCAATATATCAACTATACAACTATATGATATTGATTTGAGGCCATATCGCCTAGCCCTAATCTTTGCTCCGTCTGAGGTGTCATTTATGGCTTCCTAGCACAGATTGATGCTTTTCAACTTCCTGCTATGAGACGGGCGTATGAACACTGGAGTATGCCCAGAACGCTTAGGGCAGTTTAAGTTTGGTCAAGCCGTGTACATGGAAGAGAAAATGGGCTCCTTCAACGATAAAGAGTTTGAGTTGAGTTTGAGTTGTGTGGTTTCAGTCGGGCTAATGGGTTTTTCCTCAGAGGGCTGTTATTTAAGTTAAAACAGTTAAAGTCACAATAAAAAACTACATAAATCCACTGCTCTACTTGGATTGCTGAAGTCAGCTGTGTAGCCTGGAAGTAAAAAAAAAGGTTAGTCAAAGTATTGAATGTGCTCAGAGTCCAATCCTTCATAACTGTCAGCCAGTATGAATGGCAGGCAGTGAATTTTTGAAGTCCTCTTCAGGCTAATTTGTTTCAACAAACCCCAGTCTGGATACGCAGAGTTATTAAATGGGTTCGCAGCCACATCACAACAATCACTTAAACTAGCTCTCAGCTCCAAGTCTGGTTCACAGATATTCAGACAATATTTGTGGGGAGTGAATTCCTCCGTCAACCACCAGTCATGAAGGAGGCGAAGCTGCAGGCAGATCTGTGCAAAGCCTCCATATCATTATATAAAGAGTGCAACAAAACACAGGCTTCTGTTATAATGAGAGGTAGGGAGTTACAGCTGGATGATTATGACTGTTACGAAGCGGTTGAGGAGGTAACGGCACCATTTAGTGTCACTGACATGTTTACAGCCGCTTGGTTTTCTCCCCCTGTAATAATCATTTTCTTCCTTTCTTTTCTTTTTTTACTTTCTTTTGTGTACTGTCCCTTCTCTCCTCTGTTTTTTGTCTCCGGCCCTGACTCTTTCCTTCTTTCCTTTTTTTCTTAAACCTTCTCTCTCACTTTTTTTTGCTCCCTCCAAGCTGAAGAAAACCGAGGCCCAGAGGAATGTGCTGATGGCTGAGTGTTTCATCTTGGTCTCACATTACCGCCTAGACTGAACCTCACTGACCCAACGAACACACACAGACGCACACACACACACATATACTGGCATTTGTCATTGTGCCTGTGTTTTGATGCCCCTTGTATCCAGGGTAACTGGTGTGAGTGCAAACAGCAGGCTGGAAAGATGGAAAGCTGTCCTGTAAGCACTGTGGTGGTTTCTTTTTTCATGTAGTTGAGTTTTTAAGACCGTATTCGTCATTTCTAGTCCTCCATCCACTGCTTCACGGGGAAAACTTCCACTGCTAAACTGCCTCTCAACATTCATCATTTTCTGAAGGTTATATTTGTGTTTTCATCCAATAAAACCAAGTTTCATCGTGTTTATGACAGCGCTAATGTTTTTTTTTTTTTTTATGTTTATTTTAAAATCATTTCCTAAGATTATAAATGTGGGATTAACTTTAAATCTCCTTCACCTTTATTCCTCCAGTCCTCTATTCAGGCAATCTGAAATCTTTGAACAAATTAGGCCTTAGTTAGCAACAACGTGTGGTTTAACATTTTAATAACCCTGTAGGCTGTGCTAGTTTCACCATCTTGGCTCAGACCGGAAGTTTGTGGTTGATAAGGCCAAGAGAGGAAATGCATTAGTACGCTGTTAAAAATATGAATGCTAAGTGGGTCAGTGGTATGTAGTGTTAAGTGGGTCGGACATAGTGGAAAGTTTGTGGTTTCAGTCACAGCCCACATCTCTGATTATTAGTTTTAGGGTGTATTTTAGAATCAGCAACATTTAAAGGTATAGCATGTAGCGTCTACAAACCCACGTTTTAAAGGCGCTTTTGAGTAAAACGTGAATAAAAACAGAAAACGATGATCTGCAAATCCTTCTCCACTCATATTGAAGTGAATACACCAGAAAAACAAGCTATTTCATGTTCAAACTGATAAACTTGATTGTTTTTTTTTTTTGAAATATTCACTCATTTTGAATTTAACGACTGCAGCAAGTTCCAAAAAAAGTTGGTTCAGGGTCAAGAAAGGACTGGTAACATTGAGGACTGCTC